GAGGTCGGGGGTTGTCAAAGGGAGGGGTGGGTTCGTCCGCTGTGCTGGGAACCTCCGTGGGGAGGTGAGAGCCGGCGGCGCAAAGCGGGAGAAGTCCAGGCCGTTGGTCTCTTCGTCCTCCTGTTCGCTGGAGTCGTTAGTTTGTGCCTGGGGTTAGCGCTGGGTTGTTCCTCCATCCAACCCTCCCTGAAAACGTTAGATAAAAATCCCTGAGGAAAAAATGTGCTTCTCCAGTGGGGAACTGGAAGCACCCACCTTTGGGGCAGTCTTTCTCTTTACATTTTGGGATAGTTCCTATGAAATAAAATCTGAATTAAAAAAAAAAAAGACTCAGATTGCCCCAAACTCGGTGCCATGCTTCCAATTGGGATGTGTGGCAACTTAAATCTTGTGGGGAAACAGAGTGGAGAGTGTGGAGTGGAGCCTGCTGAAGCTAAACCTTTGCCAGGGAATTTTAGGATAAGTATCTCTGCTGGTGCCGGCGTGAGCTGAGAAACACCCTTCAAAGCAGGCTGGAGGTGGACGTGTGGTATCCATGTATTCATGGATTGTGTTTGTAAGCAGTTTGGATTGGTGCTCTGCATTGCTTGCTGGTCAACAGCCAGATATTTACACTTTTTTAAAGGTCTAGTTATGCCAAAGCACTAAGAGAAATTTTTTGGAGGGTAATGTCAAAATGTAGGATTTATGAGTTACTTAGGCCTAAAAGCAAACTAATTAAATACCTAGAAGGTAGAATTCGTAAGAAAGAGGGACTGCAAACCAGGAAGTTGAGAGAATATCACAAGGGATTTTTTTATTATTATTTCAGTGTTATTTATGGTAAGATCATTGAGTTAATTTTGAATTATGTTTGATCAAAGTAATACAGATAGTAATTATATATTAGATATATAGTAATATTAGTAATATCTATATATTATCTATATTTTATATATATATATAATATAGATAGTAATATCTATATATATTAGTATATATAGATAGTAATATCAAAGTAATATCTTCATATAGATAGTAATATCAAAGTAATATCTTCAGCCACTATGCCGCTTACCATGGAGAAATGCTAAATTGATTACCCATTATGCTCAAAAAGGGCAGCACCGCTGGTTGGTGCTGTTTGGACCTGATTATATCTATTTAAGTCTGAAGAAGTGATTTATTACACTGTCTCTTCCAAGTGTGCGTATCATTTATTCACAGGTGCCTATAGAGATTTGATTAACCCTTCTTTTTTTTCCCCCCCAAAAAAAACTGTAGATCATTTCTCCTCAAATAGATTAGAAATATATAAGATGTAACTGCCACTAGGGTTTGGAAGTGTTCCTTGGAATATGAAAAAGTTAAGCCATTAACTTAGATTAATTAATTAAGCAGAAATGGAGCCTTAAAAACAAAAACAAACAAACAAACAAAAGAAAACAGAAAATTGAACTGATAAGACTCCATCTTCTAGACCTGACCGATGTTTCTCATTTTTCACTGCTGCTGCTCATCTTTTTTTTTTTTTTTTCTTCCCCCAGTAGTTTTAGCGCTGAATTGGCACATCTCTGTCAGGTCTCTTGGCTGTTAATACCACAGGGAAATTAAAGTGCCCTGACAATTTCACTTGATCCCTTCGACCATGGACGTTGCAGCAGGTCTGAGGGGAGCAATCTAAAAATCAGAACTGGGTATATGAGCATATGAAAAGAATTTTAGAGACTTTTTCAGGTTTCTTTTAAAGACACAACCATTACTTCTTACATATCCTTCTTCTTAACTTGTTCTCTTGTTTAGTGATTACAGTGGAGTCTTTTACCTGCTGGGTTAACATGTCCAAAATACTCAGGATTTTCTTTTAATGCAATATGTGCTTTAAGAATATTGTACTATGATGCCAAGAGGTCTGTTAAAGCTGATTTAATAATTTCAAAACTAGTTTGTCTGGAGTTAGGCCTTATCAAAGGAGATGACTATAGACAGAAAGTATTTGATAGAGAATATGTTCTCATACTGCTCATAACGGAGAAAAAAGTAATAATTTAAGGCTCTGATGATTTTCCTAGAATATTAGTGGGATAAAAAAAAACCCTGAGAAATATGATAGTATGTTATTCTTACAATTTACTTCATACAGATGTCTCACTTCACAAGTGAAGATGAAGCTCTGTTACAGTCTATGCTCAGACAATTGCTGCAGAGTGTGAAGGAGAAAATCACAGGAGCCCCATCAGTAGAATGTGCAGAAGAGATCCTCTTGCATTTGGAGGAGACGGATGAAAATTTTCACAAGTAAAAATAATTTTGCAATTTTAAGTGTTTTTAAAGAGGTTGAATGTGTTCAGCTATGATATTTATGGAAAATCGTTACAATTAGTATTGATGTGTGTGAATGCATATGTAGTTTCCTGTGGCTAATCAACTCTAGAAAGATGTTAATATAGAGGATAAAGTGAATTCAGCTGTTTTTTTCTCACTTTTTTCCCCCTCTTGATAATATGTTATTTAGACTGTAGTGGTAATTGAGGAACTGCTTGTGACAAAGGAACTCACAAAACTAGCTCACTTGGCCAACTCTTAATGGACTAAAATGCACAGGTAAACAGAAGCCGGAAGAAATCCTAACAAGAAAGTCAGTGTTTTTAACACTTGCTAGGCAATATATCTTTGCTTGTTAAAATAGGGTAAATTTTCAAAAGACTGTTTGGCTTCAATCTATAATTGATCACAGTGGCTGATAGCATCTCAGCCTTCTATATCTTATCAGATAATAATGCACATTCTGAATAAAACCCCTTAACTTTTTTTTTTTTTTTTGTAATATCAAACTTGACAGGGTAATTTCAGTGACATGTTATCTGGAATTTCTTCTGCCAACAGTCCTATTTCCTGTCTACAGTAGTCAAATTTATTCTTACACTACAAAACTACAAGACATAGATTATTTTTAGTTAGTTAGTTCTAGTACATTTTTTTTTCTTTTTAGGACAAATCTAGGATGTGCCTGGTGAATAACAGGAGAAAAGACATAAATAATGTCTTTAATAATCTTAAAGAAATTTTAATTAGAACCCTAGTTCTGTGATCTGACTTCTCTGGAAAAAGCTAGCCATTGGCCAATTATTTCAGAAGAATGGCATTAGCTACGTTCTCTTAAGTTTGTATGGCTTTGAGCATAATTCTTTTAGTGGTGGAAGTTAGGTAAAAGTAAATGGTGAAATGGTGAAATTTTACATAAGCGCTAGTTTGGTCTTTTTAATTATCATGTGTTTGCATCCTCTTGAGGTGCTAAATGCTTTAAGATTTAGCTTGTTTAAATGGTGTTTTATGTTGCAGCAGACAGCACTATTAATACGTTGGTAATCATTCAGAATTTGAGCATTGGGTTATCAGGTAATAAACATGAAAGTAAAAAAGATTGGTTGAAAATATGTTGGTATTAAAAATGATATATTTTTTGAAAGCAACATTATCATTTAGGTGAAGACACCTACAGTAAAAAAGAAAAATTCAACAGAACAAAAAATAGATCTGTCAATATGTCTCCTGAGGAGTAATGCATTTGGGGAGGTATCTGTTTCCATAACTAGTGTGAAAGGTTCTCCTTTTAGAGCAGTGAAACGTTATTGTATCTCGTATATTATGACATCAGGGATTTCGAGGTTATTTAGTTTTCATGAGAGAAGTTTTAATGTATGTATAAATATAAGTAAAAATCCAGTAATCCAGCACTTACGTTACAGTATAAGACCTGTGAGAAAAAATAGCTACATTAATATAATACTGAAAATGTTTGAAGATGAGCTGAAAGAAATATGTTACATTTTATTTTGGGGTATTTTTTGCAGTTATGAATTTGTGAAATACCTTAGACAATATATAAATAATACTCTGGGATCTGTGGTTGAAGAAGAAACAGAAAAATGTACTTCTGCTCAAAGTCAGGGTGAAGTATCTGGCTATGATACTCTTGTCCAGCATGTTACTAAGAAGACCCGTGAATCCAAGGAGTGAGTATTTACATGTAACTCATAAGTTTGTTTCTTTCTGGTCCTGGTATTCGTTTTTCTTCTCTAGAACTTAATTTGAAAATACAAATTCTCAACTATAAAGGTTAGAAAAGGTTTTTTTTTTTTCTTAATATCACTGCTTTTCCTATCACAGATTTTCCTAGTTCTTAGATTGCAATTTGTCGTGTTTTAACATACACTGAAATTAAGAGTATGAGATGCTGCATAAAAATCTTGGTAGCAGATCTGTCAAGATATTGAAACAACTGTGATTGGAGTTGGAGAGGTACAATTTGAGAGAGTCGCTGCTTGATATTACTTCACTGGCTGTGTGTTATTCAGTTACAATGTGTAAGTCGGCCTAAAGGATATTTTTGTTCTCAAGATTTTTTTTTCTGGTGGAAATGATAGGATGCATAAAGATATTTAAGTAGAAAAAAGTCTTATGAAATCTGACTCCTTAGTGAAATATTCTTTATTTCTTGTAGTGTAGTAACTAATGTTAAGAAAATAGTTCATAATCAGCGGTACCTGGCTTTTATTTTCAACTTTAAAATAGCTATTAATATGACTGTTTTTCAAATTCCTTTTTTTTTAATGATCGGGAACTTATGGTTCCTGTGCTCATTAAAGTTGATTGTAGAACCTCTAGTTAACTGAATATGTTTCTGTGTCTTACGTCTTTAATCGGAGTTGAAGAAGGATGTTAAAACACAATACAGTAATTCATGTTATCTTTAGTGACTATAAAATAAATCATAATAGTCTTAAGAAAAAAATAATTTAAAATAAAACCAAAATCTTACAGTGGCTTTTTTTTTTCCCCTGAGGCAGCAGCTATTTTGAATTGTTCCATGTGGAAATTATTATTCAGTCAATTTAATTGAAAAAAAAACCCTGGTTTTGCTGAAAATAAATTCTTTTGTGTGCATGAGCTATACTTAAAATCTTGAATCAGGAAGTTGTATTCTCTTGCATTGGTTCTGCTGAGGGCTTACATCAGAGGAAAAATTGCATGTTGAACTTGAAGAAGCAGAAAACGTAGCAAGGATCAGAGCTGATCTTTTACTTTCTCAGAGATAGATTCTCCCTTTAGGTGTGTTCATATTGTTCCTTTTCAACAACCTCTTAGTATAAGATTGTTAGGCATGGTTTCATTGGGTAGTTTTAGAAAGACATAAAGAAATCTTATTACAATTTTAAAATACAGTTACCTAAAATATATATACTTTTTTGTTGCTAATTTTTGGATATTTGTTTTTCATTACTTCCTGTTCATTCATGTCTAAGTAACATTTTACCTTATTCAGGATTTTATGTGTAATATTTTTTAATGCTTACTAATATTATATATCATCATTCCTTTGAAGGTACAGAGAAATGATGCTTGCCTTGAAGAATGTCATGATGGTTGTGGTAGAATCTTTGATTAACAAGTTTGAAGAAGATCGGATGCGTAATAAGGAGCTGGATAGTAAAACTAAGAAAGAATGTCAAAGTGGCTACTATACAGACAACTGCTCTGACAGTGACTCCTCATTCAACCAAGTACAATGTGTTTTCTATGTTATGAAATAAGCATGAAACTGAAAAAATTGTTAGTTCCTCTGTAGTCTGTGGAGCTTGAGAGGCATCCTTAAAAAGTGATTCATCCTCCCTTTCATATCTTCCCTAAAAGGAATGGATTGCTATTCTTCCACTCTTGAGTATTGATCTTATACTAGACAGTGCATGCTAGATAGAAGAATCCTCTTATGTACCTGCTCAACTCTTCTGATAAAAGATGAGAAAATAATAAGGAAAACAATAGTTTTTTTTTGTGTTTTTACCTTAGGAGCTAGCTAATGTGCAGTTCCTTTCCAGACAGCTGCACTACACTGTGTTACTGAATGAAGTTATTTAGTCTATAAAATATCTTATAATAAAATATAAGCAAAATGTATAAAGGAACTCTGTTGCTATAAACTTAACTTTGGCCAATCGGATAACATTTAGAATGCTGATTTTGATGTTAAATTAGGATAAATGTTAAAATACTAATTAATAAAAGTAAGTAAGATATCCAGAAGTCTAATGCTTTTAGTCTTTTGCTGTTCACTTTAATAAGATATACTAATCATAATTTTAAATGCGTATTACAGAGTTATATATTCATGAATCAGGAACAATTGCAGCTGCTTGCAGAAAGGCTTGACCCTATTCAACCAAAGGAGGTAAGTTTAAAGGAAGAAATAAAAACTTGCTAATGCAAACAAATGTTTATAGCTTGTTGGAAAACAGAGTGCCTGTACATAACCATCTCATGCTTATGTATGTAAGTGAAAGCTTGTCTCTGATGGTTTGTGGGGAAGTCTTGACTTCAGTGCAGTATTTCTTTATTCATATCTGTCTCAAAAGCTCTTGTTGGAAGAAGTATATTTTTATGAGGTGATCATGTATTATAGATGATCATTCTTTAATTTGGAAAAGATTGTATGAAAAACAAAACCTCCTAAGCTTGGTTTCCTCTATGCATACCCTTTGCCCCTCTTGATAACTTCATGTTATCCTTTGTGATATTGTTATCAGGAAAGAGATAGGCCTCCTGATTTGCCAGCCAGCTGCTGCCAAATGGGGTATATAGTGTCCAAGTTAGGTTTGTCTTTCCGGGAGTTCTAATAGCCTCTCTGATTACCACTCAGCTGCTGGTATTTCTGAAGCTTGCAGAAACATCATTATTTCTGAGAGATTCAGAGAGTCATTATGTTGAGAGCTCTCTCTCTCAGTAAGATTTGCTTGCAATTGTCCAGGAATCGAAGAAGTCATGGCAGTTACAAATCTGATGCTATTAAATATTGTTTAACTCCCCTCAGTTGATTTCAGTAATATGCAATAAATGAGAGGAGACTACATTTGTATGTAAATAGCACAAACCCACTTATTTGAAGTTATTTAGGTTATAAAGCTGATGAAAATTCAAGTGAAAATTCCTTACTGGCTTTTTACAAATCTGCTAAACTCAGTTGTAGAATCTCAAGCAGATTTAAAGCAGAATATAAACAGAAATAAACATAATTTTTCCATGCAGTATTGAAAACCTTATTGGAAAAAAATGGTTTCATTGCTTCTTAAGATGTTCTTCTCACTGATGTAGTGGTTTATCCAATTCGCCATACGAGTTTAAATATCTTGGAACTCCTTATTCTCTTCTGCATCCAAGACTTGTTCCGTCCTTTTTCCAGAGGATATTGCAAGTTGCTTATTTGAGAGGTTGCCGTTGACAGATTCGTGTTGTGTTTATCCTTTGACCGCTTCAGGTGCGCCAAGAAGCACTGCAGACACTGTGCTCTGCCCCTCCCTCTGACATCCTGAACTCCGAGAGTTGGCCCAAGCTGCGTAAGCACCTAACGATGTCCCTGTCGGACCCCGATGCAGCTTTCAGCGTAAGCTGATGTTCTGTGTTCAGTTACCAGATGTTTAGCTAGAATAGAGAGTACTGGAGATGAATGAAATATTACGTGTATGTTATGGGTAGTCCAGCAGTTTCCTAAGGCAATTGTTGTTATTTGTGCACGTATCAGATAAACTAGTTTGGAGGAAAAGAACTGTCAGTTCCAAGAGGTCTTGGCTTAAAGATGGCCTCAACAGGGCTTCAGAGACACATGTACTCCTTTACGTGTTTTTAACGTGGAATGAAGAGGTGTAAGGTAAAATGAAAAAAATATATATATTGACAAACTGTTCTGTAAAACATTTCGTGTTAATATTTCCTGTTTAAGTCAGGTATGTACTTCATGGCAGTGGGAAAGGATGCTAATAGTGATGCACAGATACCAATGAGGGGAAAATTACAGTAGTCTTTTAAACTGCTTATGACTGTTTATTGACTATTTAAACTACTTATTGACTTTGTTCTGTAAATCAGGCCTTTTTTTCCAGTTTCAAAGTACTTCTCAAATGAATATAAAATTTATCCCAACTGATCTCATGTACCTCTGTTTTGTAGTTCAGTAGGTCTGCCACTGATTTCAAAATAATGCTAGTTTATAAGTAACTGGTGTATTTAATAACATAAAAAGTAGCATTAATAAAAAAGTGCAGTAATAATCATTACCTTCTGTTTTGCAGATCAGTGAGGCTTTGCATTGGTGCCATCAGTAGTATTTAAGTGAAATTTCTTTGGGACTACACATTTCCATGGCCTCAAATGGTGCATTTTTATAAAATGTGCTTCACATCAGTAGAGCTATCTGAGCAATATATGAAGAATAACATCACTATGTATTAGTGATTATGCAACACACTATACATGTATGTGCATTATGTATGTCTTAATATAATACATTGCTTGCTGACTCTTTTTCTCCCTTAGGAGAAAATTTTGAGGTTCTATGCCAAAACCTTTTCTTCCTGTCCATTTAATATGACAAGAGAAGTATATACCAGTTTAGGTATGTGCACTAAATTACATATAAATCTTTGTGATTAAAGCATTTCCAGAAAATCGGTTACATTTTGCTGTATAGCAGTCTAGTACAGTCTGTTTTGTCGCTATTTTCATAGAGTTTGATTGTTTCTTCTTCCTCTTTTAGCAAAACACTTGGAGTTGTATTTTCTTTCTGAAGAATTTTATCTTCCTATTTCTGCTGGTCTGGATATATCTAACACAGATATAAATCGTTTACTAAAAAAGGTATCCATGAGCTTTCCATACCTTACACCATTTTTGTGATAACTGGAAAACCCTGTTTTATTTGCGTTTTAATTATACTCCTTGTATTAACAGGTACGCCTTTTAAATGAGTACCAAAAGGAAGCTCCATCTTTCTGGATCCGTCATCCTGAAAAGTACGACACCTTCAATAATGTATTACTTCTTCTAAATTTAATGATTTTGTGCATGTAGTGAATACATATAATTTTAACAAAAGAATGGTGACAGGGTGCACAGACAACTGGTTGTTGGTAAGGAGGAAAATAGAAATGGAATAACGAAATGGCAAAAAAAAAGGAGTTATGGGTCATATTAAGTTGTTTATCTTGCTTTTTAAAGCGTTTTGAATGCTTTGTTATAAAAATGCCTTTTACTAAGATCTTTTACTAAGTAATAAGTATAATATTTAGCACTTAAAACTATAGTCATTTTGAAGAATACCAACATGTTGCTATTAAATTTATTCCTGGTATTAATAACATCATATGATCGAATTAAAGACAGCGTGGTTGATATTTATTTATCTGAACAATAAGAGATTAACAGTAAATTTCTTTGAGCGTTACTCTTGGAAAGTTCTAACTAATTTTTGGTTTTTGTTCTTTTATTTTTTTTCCTATTTGTCGAAAGATACATGGAAGAAATAGTAGAGTGTACCTTGTCACTGCTATCACTAAAACTTGAGCCTGGTCATCTTGCCTCTCCAGAGCTTTTAAGTCCAGTCTATTTCTTGGCTCTGCTAGATATCAAAGCTGTTTGGTTCAAAAAATGGACGGTAAGCAAAAACAAAACCAGAAAACATCAACTTTTTAATGTCTGACATGCATCTGGAGTTGGTTTATGCATATTAGTATCATAGATCTACAGTGATCTGATAAAGGTCTGTAATAAACACAGTAGTTAAGAAAGTCTGATTTCTTAGGGATGTATGTCCTTCATTCTTTCTCTGTTTCCCCTTCCCTATCCTACTTTCCCTTTCTGCTCAGGTACTACCCTTAAAACATTTCTGGGAAGTTTATGCTCTTTAAGGCTTAAATCTTCCTTGTCGTAGTTGACTGAAGTTCATCAAAAGATGCACATGGTTCTGTGGAATACATGATGAGCAAGAAAGGCATGAAAGTACAGTTAGTTATACATGCTACAGGTTATACATGACCAGGAATTAGTGCGTTCTGCAGTTTACCATGTATTCATGATTTATACAGTATTGTGTAAACATGTAGTCCAAATTTTCAGCGTTGTTACTGATTTTTTTCTTCTTCTGTTTTACAATATGTCACCCATTTTCCTAATGGATTTTTTTTAATTGTCATCTCACCTTAGTGCAGACAAAATGCCTAGTTGAGTGTAACGTCGGTTTGCGCCTGCTGTAGTTCAGTTCATCAAGTATGTTGCTGTGCACAGGATTGCTAATGGAACAGAACTAGAGATAATTTTAACTTTGTAGTCAAAAGTAAAGCTATTTTTGAAGTTCACACTATTTTTTTGCAATTTTAGCATGCACATTACAGCAGAACAGTGGTGTTTAGACTTTTGGAAAAGAAGTATAAATCTTTGGTAAGTCTATAATTATGGTTGTCATATTGTGGCTGGAACTGGTTTTGCTTTGTACATTGTAGTTTGAACTTTTTTCCCCCTTTCGTCCTTTTGCGAGAGCTGTTCTCTCCTCTTGATTTAGATAAATCTTTCATTATATAAATCATCGTCAATGAAAAGAAAGGTATGTGACCCAATTTGAGTAAGAGGAAATTAGTATGCCTTATAGCAGGTGTTTATTATTAATTAAATATTTATGTTGTATTCATGTTGTATTGATATTTAGAATGATTTCTCTAAATGTTGGAAAAATAGCAAAAAGTGCATAGAATTGTGATAAAAGCTATACACTGAATTCAGATTCTTGTTGGAAAAAAGCCTCAAAAAAACCCATCATTGTCTTTAATTTGCAGTGTGAAGCATTAAAGATTCAAAGTGACAGAAAAATATATCAGACTGGAAAATGTATGGTAACATATTATCCTCTGATAATACTACCGTATATTCTGTATGGGAAGATCTCCATTGGAATGGAAATTTCATCGAATTCAGTGAAACTACAGTGAAACTAATGTAGATATTAGGACCGTTCATTATTGAAGAGGATTTTTGGTAAAATTTCTTAAGCAGATTAATAAATGTAAAATGCCTATAACTGGTATTTCCTTCAGATGGAAATAAGGACAGAAATCTTAAGGCAGGTGTTTATGATTTGTTTATCTGTATGCATAGCACAGAACATAGAATAGGCATGGTCCATGCAGCAAAAAATACATAGAGAGGAAATCCATTACAGCAAGCCTGCCTAAGGTAATTTATGAGTATAGGATAAGCTTACAATTAAATATTTATATTTAATTTAGTATATATGTCTATTTTACTTCAGCTTTTTCAATGTGTGTGTATGTCAATGTATGAATATATCTGGAAAATATCTTAGCAGCTGCAAAATATAATGGTGGTAAGCTTACTTTTTTAGTCATGTGCTATGTATGTGATTAAATTTTAAATCTGCATTGATAAAAATAATTTTTTTATGTACAATGACTAGGTGATAATGATATGAAAATGATGCATTAGTTTTGCAAAAAGAGTAAGAGTGCTGACAACCCCAAAACCCCAAACTTAGAGAGATTTTTAGTGTAAATACATTCTAGACAAAGGTTTGCACATGTAGATAATGACAGGCTTCAATATTGATAATAATATAGCAATGAAATAGAGACTAATTTCTCAAAATCCTAATGTGTTCTTTTCCTCTTCTTTTTCATAGATTGATTGTTTTAGTGCTTGCAGAACTGAAGCTTCTGATGATGCATTTTAGTAGTGCTGTAAAATTTCACCTTCTTTTGGTTTTCCTCTTCATACAAAGCAGTGAAACATAAGCAGTTGTTGCAGTGATGTGACTATTTAGGTTTTTGCATTAAGGGATAATACTTAGACATAAAAGAAAATTAATTTATTGTAAAATAACAGGCATTTTTTATTTTGTCTTTTTTTTTTGACAGATTAATGCAGCTGTCCAGCAATGTCTTGAGTACTTTGAGTTTTGCAAGTCAGCTCTTGACAGAACTTCTAGAGTGAGCAGCTGTTCCCAGCAGCGCTGTGGTAAGTAACTTTACATGTATTGCACTATATGCATGAGCATCTACATTCTCAAGGTCTTTGAGTAAGCTTTGAGAGAGCTGTAATAGGAGTAGTCACTTGTATACTTGAAACAATCCACTTCTGTTGTGGTAGTTGTTCAAATGGGTGTTCTACTTTTTTAATTTTATTGTTAAAGGTGATAAGCAGAAGTTTTCTTATACCGGACGAGATTTGCAGCACATCTGTTTTGTACATTCGCTATGCCTTTTAGGAAGATTGGTCATCTACAAGGAAGGCCGAAATCTTTTTCCAGTACATCTAAAAAACAGAAAAGGTAACAGGGGAGCTGAGAAAAACGTAACCCTGAATCTATCAATACTGTGGGTGTGGAGGACAACATTCTGTTCAACAGCGTTTGACCTGGAAACTTTTGTTTAAAGATGGCATAAGTAATCCTGAGCATCAGTACCTTTTTTAAAAATCTTCTCTAGTAATTGAGCTTTTGTCCTTATATTCTGTACAAGAATTTCATCTTGAGGAGAGTTGGATCAATATTTAAACAATTCAGTGTTTCTTGATATGGAGTATCTTTTGTTAAATCGGTTGTTATAATCAGTTAGAAGAGAGACAAGTATTCAGAATCAAAACTGTTTTTCAGGTGTGAATAAAAACCTAGTATTTTAGGCTTAATACAGATGGAAAACAATTGCTCTGAGCTTAATTTATTGATGTAAATGTTAAACTGTTGTGAAGGATGTTTGATGCCTGTGGAGTAGAGGTATTAATAAGCAGAGAAGAGATGGTAAAGCCCTCTGATCTGCATACAGTGGTACACTGCAGCATTGGCAAATACAGGAGTGTGAGGAAAAAAGTAGCATACCATTACACTAATGTCTTTATTAGTTCAATATAATTTGCATAATATTTCTGTATACTAGTTCTGAGACTTATTTTTGAAGGGATTTTTTACTCTAGTTGAGGATCAGATATTCAGAGGTCCCATATGAAATGGTTGTCTTCTCGGGAAGAAATACACGCTACTGATGGAGTCTTTATGTTGTTTGCAGACTGGCTGTATATTATACTCAAACGGTGGTCAATTGATGTTTATCTTCTCACCTGCAATAGCTAATTATCTTGCTATCTATCCTCTTAATAGAGTCCTTTTCAATTTCAGAGATGCCAAACGTTTCCTCACAAATTGCCTGATTTATTAACATAATTACATTAAACTGAGAGAAGTAGTTTCTAATCTGATTTATCAAAACATTTTTTTTGTTTCAGATCTGAAGAAGAGTTTGAGTGTTTGACAGTTTAGTTCTTTCAGCTGTATCACTTAATCTGATAGAAAGGATTTTTTTTTCCTACTATCATGTATCCAGCATTCTCAAACTTTGGCTGCCATCCATTTCAATAGAACACATGATGTGATTGCAGTTGGCTAATTTGGGAGCAAGGTCAAGCTTTGCAAATTGAGCAATAAGTAGTGTGGCAAAGTGTCAGGGAGATGCACATCCTTTATGTTATCAGTTGTATATAATGTTGATATCCTCAGTAAAAGGAAGTCTATGTATATTTACAAAGTCCACTTTATTAAAGCTGTATGTTAATTTCCAGATTACATTTTTCTTTCCTTTTTTTGTAGATCGTGTATCATTAATAGATCTATTGGTATTATTTACTCAGCTTATTTATTACTCTCCAAGTTACCCAAAGACAGCTCTGACAGGGCAGACAGGTATACATTTATTTAATATATGCTAATTTATTAAATAATAATGCATCATTTTATAACTTATGTGTTTTATAAATTTTTTAATTCAGGATATGATAGCATATATGTACTGGAAAGCAAATAATAGTAGTATTTGTGCAAATTCTTCCTTCCTACTACTTTTTCTTCCTGCCTTTAATTGTGTTAAATCAGTGCTTAATGAAGTTATAGTTCAGAGGTATCTACATAAACTGTACAGATACATTAATATATATGTATGTTGGAAATATAAATAAATACTTCTTGTGTTTGCCAGACAATTATTCCCCAGCAAGTCTTGTTATAGAGATTCTGCAAGTATTATGTGACCAGACGGGATGTGCTGCTGAATGTTTATATACTGATGCTGTCATAGATGCCCTGCTTTATCCCATTCAAAATTTACTGAGTGGCACAGAGGTTTGTAGTAGTCTTTCAAATAATATTTAAACCTGCATAGAATCATGTTATATATTTATTTAGAATCATGTTATATATTTATTATATAAAAAATGCATATAGCTATGTGGTATCACTTTTTTTTTACCCACAGGACACATGAAATCATAGATCTGTTTTTTACAGGTGCTTATCTGCTCTGCTTTTACTTAAAATGAAATGTACTTGTATTAATTTTTTAACTCTGCAAGTTGGTTAGGTGTTCTCAAAGCACAGAGTAGGTAAAACATAATACTTTATTAAAAATTGCTGTCTGTAAATTAGAAAAAGGCAGAGGATTTTTTAACATCTCCATGAGACGTAAGAACTTTGTGAAGTATTAGTTATGCTTAGGTTCTTGAAAGCCTAATTAATACTTGTATGGCCACAGTTGTCAGATTTGGTTAATGATGCTGGTGTGCAGCTAAAGGGACTGCTGGGCTGCATCTGACCCTGATTACTGTCTGTGCGTGTGACCTTAGCTCCGGTTTGAGGCATGACCTTGGACCTGCTCTGCCTCCATGGGCTCGTCTCGGGTTTTGAACTGTTGGCTGAGCCTGGAGACCATGAGTGGACCAGGTCTGCTTCCCTTGCTTGAGTAGTGTGGCCCTGCCTGCCCGTCTGATGGGGAGACCTCTGCTTCTGTCCATCTTGCATCAACCCTGGCTGCTACCCGAGGGCCTTTGTGGAGCCCATGCCCTGCTTGCCCACATTTGACATGCTTAGTTTTGGTGTACTTGGCTCACTTAGTTATGAGCAGTGGCCAACTCAGTGTTCATTCAGATAGGATGTTCTGTATTCACAAGTATACTGGACAGAGCAGCCTGAATAATAATGATAAATGTTCAGGCCCTGAATCCCCTGGTTAAATGTACATGGTCTCCTATGTGCGTAAAGAGTTCTCAAGAGGTTCTTGGTTTGCTCTAATGCGGAAGACTTCCCTCCAAGTTTCAAAGCAAATGACTGTTTAGGCCTGACTCAGCTAGAAAGAGACGTCCATGCTGTAACTTGGGGAAAGGAGGGAGAAACAAGCAAGAGCAAAATTATGAAGAAAGAATTTAAGTGAGGTGGACAAACAAGATCTTGTGAAATTAACTTTCCAATTCTAGCCCAAGGTTTGGTAATTCATACGCAGAAAAAAGCCAGTTGCCTTGTTTCTCACCTTGATCAAGATACTGTTTCTACATCCTGAACAGGCTTGTAAGGAGTCTTTTTGCATTGATTGTGAAGGGAAAAAGGAGTTAAGAAATGTCTCTTTTCTATATCTGTGCAGTCTGAGGACTTCTGCCTTAATCATTAAAAGTGGTAATTATCGCCATTCATGATTAAGATTTGAATGTAGTCTGCTTGCTTACTATGTTGAACCCTTAAGCAGTCATTAGAAAAAGGACATTCAGGTTCTGCATACACAGACAGACTTGAACTAACAGATTTTACAAAAAGCATTTAATTTTAAACTTTTTATCTTTTTTGGCTTCCAAACAGATGCGTATAAACTGTCTTGAAGCCACTTTAATTCATGTAGCAGATATTTTGGAAAGGATTGCTGCAGTAGAAGATGGTCTTTCTCTTCTTCTTTATGGAGGAAATCAAAAGTCTGCCAAAGAAGATATGTAAGAGTGCATTAATGAGTTACATTAGTCATATAAAGTGAGACTTGCTTTCCCTTTTTCATTTCTTTGTAACATACCATGTTTTGTTTATGCTTTGACTAACAGTGTCTGATTATCAGGTAAGATACGAAGTATTTTAGCGGGTGTATTATGGAGACAGTTGTGTGACTAGCTGAGGAAATGACACTTTTAAGAAACACTTTTCTATTAAAGAAAATTTCCATGGTTTATGTGTTACTTGTGAGAGAGAGAGAGAGAGAGAGAGAGAGCTTTCCTGTCCCTGAATGTAGTTTTAATAACTCATTGTGTTACTATTCAGGCCAAAGGCCTCTCTTTTGCGTGTTTTTTGAAGTAAATATTAAAAATAAACTTTTTTAAGAATAGATTTACTGTACCATTTGAATCCCTAGTTAAGAGGCATGCTTTTTAATACACCAGGATAGACAGATCTCTTGTGAGAGGCTGATAAATGTAACAGCCTATCATCTAAGCTGTGTCTGTGTGATCCAATAGGTAGCAGCATATTGTTATATGATACCAAAGAGGGCAGTAAAATTGAGAGTAGCCTTTAGAAGTAAATAAGCTGCAGGTCATGAAATAAACTGAAAAGCCACAGCTGTCAGTTATGTGGAATGTGTGTCGGGGGAGTAAAAGATAGTGATTTGCAGGAAAAGGTGTCCTTTGTGTTACTAACCTTGTAGATTTTAGAAGCAGATCTCGGGTAGAGATAAAGAATAATAAGGATAAATTTTTGCCTTGTATATCAAGATGGATAGTACTGATTAAGCAAAAGCTGAAATGGCTATCCTGGCTGGGTGCTTTCTATAAAGTTACACCCTGTATAGCTTGTGGCCATGTGGGATAGATGGAAGGCAACGGATCCATTTTTGATTTATGTAGCCAAAGTAAAATCACTTACCATAAGTTTTCTTATCTTCTGAATGGTTTTACAGGGATTAGCAGAGTGGGCCTGCGTTTCTTTCCTTTAGTCTTATAGAAATGTAAATAAGGTCATGCAAAGGATTTGTTTCAAGCTTTATTGGTGATTACAAAGCAACAATTTTAAGTGTTATTTTATTTCTAGTCCTACAGCTGTTCATGTAATTGTTGAGTTTACAAAGAAACTTCTTCATGACGACATTTCTCTTTTACCTGGATCCGAGCTTTTGCCAGTTGTTAAAGGAGCTTTCATTTTTGTATGTCGTCAGATGTACAGAACCTGTGAAGGTCTGCAGGTGCTCATTCCTTATGGCTTACATGAAACTCTTGCAGAGGCTTGGAAAAAGGTAAATCTCACTGGGGATTGGGAAGATCAGCAAAATCTTACTGTGAGAGCTTCAGTTTGTGCAATAGTTGTTCTCTGGTTTAGATTAAGTAGTGAGATAAGAATGCTAGGAAGTTCTTATTCTAAAAACTAAGTTCTGTTTTTCAAATCTTACTTCTGTATGTAAACTTGGCAGGTGCTTAGTTTGAGGTCTCTGTGTTTTAAAGTGAAACCAGGAAATCTGAAGATTTATAGGTAGATCTGTCATTTGTAGATTAATGTCTTTCTAACCATTGTCCTTATAGAGGTTATTTGATTTTATAATAGCCAGTATCTACCGCAGGTCTGCTCTTGGGTCTTAGCTTTGGATATACGGAAAGAAAAAAGTAGAGATGTGGCCTTAGTATTTTTTAGGCTAATGTAAATAGTTCTGAGGGGAAATAGGAGGAAAAAAATAAAATTGAAATGTTTGATTTATTTGGTTAGATGCCATTGAAATATTTTCAGGAGATCTGAAGAGCTATATAGGCAGGGGTTTTCCCATTTGCACACTTGGATATCTTACTGGAGTGTTGAAAGGGGCTCTTGGTCTGACCACTAGTCCATTACTGCCTGAAAGAGCTTGAGCCCAGCAGTTCGACTGCATATTGCACATGCATTAAATAGTTTAATTCACTAAACTTTTTGTTGTTGTTCTGATACAGTGTGAAAATTCTTACTTGTAACATATAATTGACATAGAGAGTGTTTCTGGATGCGACAAACAGCAGTTTTTAGTTAAGTTCTCAGTGGAGGAAAAAAAAATCAGACATTTGAATCATCAGTATTAGAAAAGGATAGTATACAAAATTTCAGCTTTGAATCCCGCTTAACGGAAACTATATTTAAAGTACAGGTATTAAAAGTATAATGGAAAAATGAAATAAAAATGTTTGACTAAAAATGGATACATCTTTATTTTTTTTTTCCCTTCAGTGACTGTAAAATATTTACTTAGAAGCAAAGGATCAGACAAAACTAGAAAAAAATGGTTAAACAAATACATAATTAAACAAGTAAAGAAAGAGAAAGGGAGAGATTTTTGTACCCAAGGAGTAGAATGGAACCGTTAGGCTTCCTGTAAATGCGGCATGCTTTTGTTTTAATTAGAAGTTTTAGAAATGAAAACAGTCCCAATGTATACTGAGACAGAATATATCAGAAGTACATAACATGAATAGAAGAGAGGCTTAAAATAATCAGCTTGTCGTGGATGTTTCCCACTGCTATCACATTTGAATATTACTAAGAAAGCATACATTTTTAGTTGAAAATAAAATATATTATTAGAATATAACTGGATCACAGTAAGCTAAGCTTTATAGGAAGGAATGTCTTTTTGAAACTGAATTTGCAATAAGAATCCTAGAATTCTGCTGAATTGAGTTTAGTTTAATTGAATCATGCTGTAGTATAGAATCATGCTGACATAAGTCTATCTTTTTATGCTTTCCTGTTATGTAGCTAGTCATTCTTACTTGAACTAGCTTGTTACTCTATTTAATGTTCATCATATGCAGTCCATCATGGTCCCTTGCAACCTCAACCATCCTGTGATTCGGTGTGGTTCTGTGACATATGTAGAATTAAAAAGATTGCCAAACATTTAACTGACAAAATGCCATTTTATTTTTCATGTCATTTTGGAGGTCAAACTGAGACTGAAGTGCAGATTACCTATTCACGGCTTCAGAAACACACAAGCTAGTACACTCAAGTTTTCAACTCTGTCGTCTTAATTATTTTTAATAATTTTCTGTCATTGTCCTGCTTTAAAACAACCATGGTTTGTAAAATATTCTGTCACTTATAGTGTAGTTAAAAGATTGGAATTGTATTAAAAAAAGAAAAAAAAAAGTTCTATGCAAGCACTAGTTGCAAGTTTTTAAGACTAGTGGCTTATTTCCTTCTAAGTTGCATGTCTCTTGGCACTTAACACTGGTGGGCAAACAATTTTTTCAGGCCAGATCCTGGTAAAAATTCTGGGGCAAACATTGGCATTATTGCACAGATAAAAGGAAACTTGACAGATCTAGAACCACTGATCACTTTAATAGAGGATTTTTTTTTCTGGATAAATTGGCATATGTGTTTGTAAGAGTGGAACTTTGCTATGTTCACTATCTGTACCATATAATGTATATATTTCATTTGAATGAATAGTGCAATAAGCTGCTCATATTTAAAAACAATTTTTAAAGGCATTTTAAGAAAAATAATTTAAAAATATGATTAGCTTTATAATGGTTTATACCTAAGGAAAAAGTAAAAAAAAAAAATTTCTTCAAATACAGAATGGAATGGAATGGTATATTCTCTGCTAGGTTAGAACATAGTCACTCCCCTTTTTGGTGTATATGTGTGTGTGTAGTTTGTGTGTGTATGTATATACATGTGTGTGTGCATGTGTATACATATATATAAATACACACACATTTTTAACAAAAAATAAGGAAGTCTGCCATTTAAAATTATGCAATTGAGCTGGATTTTGTTCTTAATTTTACAGACAAGTTTGCTTTCAGAAAGAATTCCCACTCCTGTAAGTGATGCAAGCTCCCCCTTGTCAATAAGCCAAGAGTCAAAAAACAGGCAAGTACAGATGTTCAGTTTAGGCACGTGCACAAGTATGAACATGTACTGCTACTTTTCTGGTGTTTGAGGCATCTTATAACACTGTATTTTCTTAGCCTTTTGCCAGAAATATACTGGTAGGTAGACAGAGCAATGTCAACCTACATTGACAGACATTGGATTCCTGAAGGAGTTATTTATATATTATGTTCTTCTCTCTCATCTTTGAATCTTAGCTAGCGTGGGTTTGCATGCTTGTACATAAAAGTCTAATCTAATTTGTAACTTTCTCAATTATTTCTTTTGCTAATATAACATAGGCATAGTCCAGTGAACAATACACTTTTGTTTTTCAAAGCTGCAAATTTTAGTGTTTCTATTTTTTTTTATGCTTTTTTTTTTAAAATATTTTAATGCCTGTTTTTCTACTCTTACAGTTCATTATCAGAAGAGACTTTGCTAGATGCCTTACTAACTTTTTCTGCCACACCAAAAGGACTATTTCTGCTTCATAGTACAGGGGCCATGAGTGACTGTGTGACTTTTATGTTCAGCAGTATGTCAAGAAAAAAACAGGTAAGTATAACAGAGTATGTACAATAGTTTCTTTTTTTAATTACTGAGAGAAAACATTAAGGAAATAAAACTATAAACCCTTTTTATTTAATTTTTGCCAAAAGTAATTTAATATGTGACTCATTAATCTTAATGCATGCCATATAGATTTAACTTTGTTGCATGCCACTCATCTTCAGAATGTCAGACATATATTTAGCTGTGATGACTTTTTATTGCTAAGTGTAAAATGAAAAATAAGGTTTATTTTTTGCTGTTGTTTTTCTTCTAAGTTGAAGTTTTTGTAAACCAAGCTGATAAGTGCTGATAAAATTTAGGTACAGTATGTAGTATTTACAGTTTTAACATTTTAAACATGAAGAAGTTATGTTTTAGGTGGAAAACCAGATAATGATATTTAAGTCTTACTGAATGGTTATGTTGCGTGTCCCAAATAACATATTTATCATTTCTACTTTGATACTCCCTTCATAAAAATGTTTGTTTTGTAATCTGACTATGGCGAATATGTAGAGTGTGATTTTTATGAACTGTCCAAGTCTAATGCAGATTAATTTCTGTAAACAGAGATTAGGATTTAAGAGTTCCGTGCATGGTGATATCACTAACACTTAGCGCTCTATATTTGTTACTAACAGACAAGTGATTGTGAAGAGTTTGGTAATGGAATGATTTTTACCCAAATAGCAACGATACCTACAGGTGCAGTAGCTCTGCAGAGTTCAGGTAATTAGAAGAACTATTTTATTAGGAGTAATTACTTGCTATAGCCTTCAACAGTAGAAAAAGATTTTGCGAATGATGTTAAAAAAGATGAAATGTTTGGAATAATTATGTAGTATTAGCAAATGTCTTGATTGCCTCGTATTAGAAGTTCTTTCAAATTCTTAAGTCATCCAGTTGTCTTGATGCAGTTGTATTGTTTCTTACAGTATATAATATCTTTATTCTATAGTTTGAGTTACCAGAAATTTTCTGTAAATGCATTTATGACTGTTAAGAGTAAGCTCCTTACAAGCTGCAAGTGATCATTTATCCACAGATGAGAAATAATGTTGAATTCTGAAACTGAACTACAGTTTTCCAGGGCTGCTGACTGCTGAAAGAGTGATATAATGCACAGCCCTGAATGTCATTTGTTCTTGAATACTACAGTGATCTAGAATTGAGATTCTTTTTTTCTCGTTTTTTTTTTTGGATTCATATGTGCCAGCCCATGGCGAAAAGTCCCTACAGATTCATTGAGCTTAATGTTGTCGTATTATACAAGTGTCTGTGTAGTCTGTAAGTTAGCAAGAGTCTTACCAATAAAGTAAAGCAGCATCTTAAGTTGTTAAAGAAGCCCGTGAGGTACAGAAGTACTCTCTTAATACCTCTAAGTGGTTGATGTGTAATGAAAAAAACTGACCGAGAGACTGCCACAACAGCAGACAAATTCTGCTAGTCAAGGAAGCTGAACTGATTGTTAATTGTTTTATGTATGTTTCTGGGATCTTTTTGAAATTAAGGAGTAGATGTGCTTCAGTAACTCCATCTGTCATGGTTAAATTTCTCAGCCAAGTCACTTCTTGTGGTCTTTGGCATCAAATGGTCGACCAGAAATAAATAGGGTCAAGTTCAACACTTTTTTTTTTTAACCTTGAGGGAAGGTTGTATAGTGTTTGTGAAGTTGTTTACTAATAGTCATTTTCATCTGGAGAGTTCTGAGTTAGATGGCTTTTTTCTTCCTTCCTTTTTAATGTAATATTTAACATTTTAGATTTGATTAATAATATTTTTCAGTGCTTTGAAACTTATCATTATGGTATGTTTTTAGTTATTGGTGAATTAAATACATTTTTTAGTTTTAAAACCATGGGACAAACTAGAGTAGCGCTGATCTATAGGAATTAACTAGTTAGGGAAGAAGAGGAGCTTACTTTTGTTGGAAAATATATAAATATCATCCTAAACTTAAAAATATTCTTTGCAAACTGCTGTTAGGCTGAGTATAAGCAGAACACTGTAGAAAGCTGATTTGACTGCAGAATTGAGCATAGAGAGGATAAAATGTTTCTTAATGTGACTTTTTTCTGATATTTTTGCCATTCTCATGACTGGAACAAAAATTTGTTATAGGCTTTATAAAAGCACTTGTAACTGAAGTATGGTCTCTGCTGGAATGTGGAAAAGACGATGCGAGGATAACTCAACCCAGGTCTTTTCCAGTAGATCCTATTGACCAAAGCTGTCAAAAGGTGAGAAGTTACTTGAGGGAAGAGAGAATAATTTAGTAATAATTTTCTACACTGGCATAGAAAACAACATTATATTTTATCTAGGATGTTTGCATACCTTTCTGAGTTTTTTTTTTTATTGCAGCTATACTTGTTTCTAGGTGTGTGGGGCAAAATTGGTGAAATGTGTCAGTCAAATAATTACTTATTGAAAGAGTTGTTGTATTGCACAGAGGGTCACAATGCCAAGGTTCCATTAAAGTCAGTATAAAATAATAACAATTATGGTGACAGTGAAAGTCTAAAATACTGTCCATTGGTTCGAATATCTGAATATTGTAGAAAGATCAGTTATTGGGTTTTTAGGATATGCTGTGTGCCTCTGAATTTTACAACTACACAATAAATTATTATAGCTTTTGAAAGAATTCTAAATTCCTAGAATTGTATTTCCTCTGCACCAGTAGAAAAAAAAAAACTCAGTTTTCACTAAGCCATCTGCTTGTGTAATTTTTACAGTTTATACGTATTTCATAGGTATTGCTGCCCTTTTAGATTGTAGATAGACTTGCCAGTTCTGCAGAATTATTTTGGGCTGCTCTACCCATGTCAGTTTTCTCTTCCGTAGAAGATAAAAAACTTGAATTAAATGCCAAGCTATTTTATAAATATGTTTGTTTATATTTCACCGTTTAACATCTTTCTTCCACCATTTTTCTTTTTTTTCCTTCACTAGTCTTTTCTATCTCTGATAAACTTGCTCACCTTTCCAGCAGTTTTTGAACTCCTGAATAAACAAGACATACCAAATAAACCAGTGTATTCACTCCGTGAAATTCCTACTGATATAATTGTAAGTATGTTTTTCCTTTTGAAATAAAAGACAGTGTTTCCATAAAGATGTTTTTCCTGAGAAAATAATAATAAAGTATTTCTTATTATGACTGAAACATATTGAAGTTTTCTGCACTTTGTAATAAAAGCAGCATGAGGGCAGTATATGCACATATCACTTTATGGTAACCTAAATTTTCATTTAAAATTTGTGGTCCAATTTAAAGAGCCAATTTCTTGTATTAGAAATGTGCCTTTCAGGGAGAAAGTGCCTTTTATAGGTATGTGCCTACAATTGCATGCCTACGCATGTGTTTTATATAATACTGTTTTATCCCGGTATCTGGGTTCGAACAAAACCTCAGTCAGTCTTTCTAAATAGCGCAGAGCATTCACACAAACATTAAATCAAGAATTGGAAAATTATTGATTAAGGTATATTTCAGTCTTAAATAAAGTAGTATTACTATTGTAGTACTTCAGAATTGTTCTATATTATTTACATACCCTGTATGACTACAAATCTTGTATGTTGAAATATCCTGTATTATGTAGTAGCTAGTATTATCCTTTATCTAACTACAATCCTTTCTTTCTTATCTACAAGGCACAAGCAATTGAGTTGCAATTAAAATTAAATTTTTGCTAATGAGTCAGTGGTTTTAATTGATGATGCATGAAAGTGTTCAGTGTAAACTCTGGATTGATAGTACTTTAAGTTGTTTGGGCAGTTGGTAATGTAGTAGTGTTTGTTGTGTTGGGAAGATTTTGTTGTTGTTGTTCTGCAATACACTCACCTAAAGGTGGATTTCAGAAGGAAATGCAGTGATAGGTTTAATTTATCCAGTCTTCTCAGTCTTGATATGTCTACTAGTTTTCTTCAGTAATAAGGTTTTGTGAGGCACTTAGAATAGGAAAGATATATGCCAAAGGTGGTATATCTTTGAGAGCTATTAGATTGGGGAGGTCAAGTAATAATTTTGTGGCTTTTGGAGGCCTATGTCACTTAGATTTTTGAGGAACTTAGACAGTTTGGGATTTTTTATGTCCCCGAGAATAGCAGTACCGGTGTTACTGTTGAAAGTTACCTGAACAGTGGTACACGTAGGTATTTTGGATGGGGCTTGGTTCACTTAATTATGGTTTAAAAGACCTTTGTGTAAGTCTAAGATAAACACCCAGGATGAAGTAGCTAATAAAGAAAATGGGTAAGTCTAATGGATAAGACTAAGTGCTCAGAAAACTGTGGAGGTTAGGTGGACATAGTTACTGCATGGTTATTGCAACTGTGTTTCTGGTCACTGACTGCAAATAATTAAAGTTATAACCAGATATAATTATGGCCGTAAAGCAAAGTAAAAGCAATTTCCTTGCCACCAGAAGATTTGGAATAAGGTCTTCTGTCAGATGTCTGAATATGCAGGGATAGAAGTAGGAAAGCCAAGACCCATTTGAAGTTTAAGCTGACAGGGCTTGCTGAGGACAGACAGATGGGCTTTATTGTGAATTTTGCTTTATTTTTTTTCTCTGTATGGAAAGCACTTTCTTTGCAGCCCTTTCCCCCAACCTTCCTCAGAAATCTAATAGACAAAATATAGTTTTACTTTATTTTAAATAAGATTACATTTTAAGAGGACAGTTTGCTTTGGCAACCTTTTTTTTTTTTTTCTCTACTTCCGGTGTTACTTCATTGTCTTTACGGAAATACAACTTTAAGTTCATTTCATGAAAGTATGGATCCTGATTTGTTTTTCTAATACGTTACTGAAAAGACTCATTGATCCAAACAGTTGAATAATAATCCCCTCTGCTGTCTCTGACCATACTTATTAAATAGAAATAAAATAAAAGTTTGGATTTAATCCAGATTTTTAAAAGCCTGTAAAGACTTTGCTGTTTTTGTCTTCTGACCCTAATGTAGCAATCGTTTATAACATCAATGGATATTTTTGTTCAATTCCTTTTTTTTTTTTTTTTTAAATGAAGTTATTACTTCAGAAACAATTCAGATGTGCCGTAAACCTGGGGGAATTTATGGAAGAAATACAAAGCAGCCTTAGATCATTGTCTATTAGGTTAGACTGTGTGTGATGAAGGAGATAAGCCTCAACGTCCAAACCAAACCTTGCTATACACAGGACTGATTGCTGGGCACCAAAGCACTTAGAACTATCTGGCGTTAGGGAGGGAATTACAGTAAGGGTATTGCATTTTCAGCCTGATATGGCTTATCCTTCTTAATGCTAATTGCATGAAAATAGATGTATACCCATTTCAACTATGTAATAAACAGTTTATCGTGGATTAGTATTAAAGTATAATATGTAAAAGACTTGATATGCTAGTATCGTTTTGTATGTTTAATATTTTGTTTTCCGGCATAGTAGGTTCTTTCATTTGCACAGCCTGTACTATTTTTTTTTTGCCTTTGGCTTTTTTTGCCTTCTTGACTTTTGTAAGAAGAGGAAAGTCTTTTTCTGCCTTTTTCCCATGTTTTTAATCATAGGTTTCCATCTGTAGTAAACATTCCTATGAAACATATATATATAAAATCTAAAGACATAAATGATTTTTTTTTTATTTATTCTCTTTTGGCAGGATGTCATTGACAGGCTTATAATTTTGAATTCAGAGGCTAAAATTCACTCCCTATTCAGTTATGAGCAATCACATATATTTGGTCTGAGGTAAGATGCTCTTTTTTTTATCTTTTGGTCACAATAAACAAAGAGCATACAGCATGCTTGTTGCATTGCTTCCAACAAGTTAATGTTGTTTGGTCTTATTATACATGAAGATGAAATTCACTTTTTCTTCTTCATTCAATAGAAATTGAATGAAAAATACATCCTATAAAATGAGAATAGCAATGAATCTAATCTTATTACAGTAAATGGATATATTGTAATATGACAAACAGTAATAGAAATTGCTTATTGTTATTTTGTCTAGTTGATTGGAAAGAAATGTAGTACATCCATCATAGTGTATAAGACAGAAATCATACCAAAGTACTAAAACTTTTTTTTTGTTATTATATCATGATTCTATCTGGCTTTGGTTTGTCTCCTTGCATTTTTTTTAATGTATCAGTTAAATTATCACTATTTTCACCAATGCTCATTTTGAGAAGTAGCAAATTCCCAAATATTTCTAGAACCTGAAGCAACACTTGAACACTTCAAGTGTGCTTACTCTGTCATGCTCATTTAAATGTGTTATAATATCTTAACACAGAAATCATAGTTTCTCTGTTTATGAATTTATTAATTCACACTTTCATTAGTAGTTTATGCAGGATATACAGTACAGATGAAGTAAAATCTCTATTGGATTGCACTTCATAGTATAGAAAATTTTGATAACCTTCCTTGGGCAAGTTAAAGGTCAGTGGATTATACACCTCAATGTTAGCTCTCTTTAGCCATATTTGTACTATAGTATCAGAATAAAATGATAGTATAATATGGAATCAATAACCGTAATTTATAGTTCAACTTGTTGCTAAGGATGAAGGAGCATGAAGGAGATGAACAGTGCAGGATTTGGGGTTAGGAGATGTTAGGATTTAGGAGTATAGTTTAGTCCTGTAACTCAGGAATTACAGATACTGTTTTGGAAGAATTCGCTAGCTGAATAGGAGTGAGAAGTCCTAAAACAGAATTAGAAAACAAAGATGTTATTAGGTATTCAGGATTATCCTGACTTCGTAGAAGACTTGACGGAGCTTCCACTCATTTAATTAGGCATAATGGAAAGTGAACTGTTCAGAAGTGTAAAATACCCATTTGCTTTTAGAATGCTTTCTACCTTCAAAAGGTGCTGCCTTAAATTAGAGGTAAAGGAAGAGAGTTCTGCTGTGATATTGGGAACCTTCTTGCTTGTAGGCAGAAATGAATTACTCTCTCTGAACACAAAAGCAGTTAATACCCGTAATGCAGGACAGAGTGTTGGTGAATCCTGTGTTGAAGTTGTGTGTAATGCCTAGAATATTTTTATCAAGGCCTATGTCTTGTGAGGCAACTGACCTACTCATAACTGCTCATATAAGCAACATAACTAGTCCATCCATAATCACCTAAAATAAATCATATGTGTAAGTAGATAAGATGAGCTTTACAGTTCACCCCAGAAATACAGTTTTCCAGAAGTTCATGACCAGGGCACAAAAAACCAAGTGAAAATCTATGAAGTCTCTGATGTTCCTCTTTTTCAGTTCATAATCAAAGTTAAGCTGCCAAGCTGCAAGAAAAAACTAATGAATATTTTATTTTTAGTGTGGATACTTCTTGTTCATAAAAGTGGTAGATATCTTCATTATTAAGTCATAATCAAATAAAGGATAATAATCAAATTAAGTCATAATTAAAAGTTTAAATGTCACTTTCAATAGAGATTTACTCTTCGGAGATTTTGGAATCTCAGTAATACCAAGACTTCATACTTCATGCTTAGCAGATTCAGTTTTTACTGCAGAGGAACCCTCCTCCCCACTGTTTCTTTAATTGTCTTTTGTATAAAAACAAGCCAAATGCAATTTAGGTATTATGAAATGTGCCTGTGCATATCACAAATAGTCTAAGAATGTGTTTTCTTAGTAAGTAAATGGCTTTTCAAGAGCATGTGGGGCTTGCTATACATTTTTTTTTTAATGATAGAGAATAGGCACATACCAACCTTTGATTGTGACTAATTCAGCTGCCAGTACAAAGAAAAACTGTACTATTACATAGCTATTCAGAGTTTCCTATTGAAATCATCTTGGAATTCTGGCTTATTGTTGCATGTGCCTTACTGTTTACAGTATTAACACTTGCAGAAAACTCTTACCCATATTATTTTACTTAAAAAGGTTTGAAGTTTCTTTTTCTCTCCCCCCTCCCTTCTCCCCCCTCCTCCCTCTCTCTTCTCTGTGTGAATTGACTGTGGATTTGGAGCCCTTTGAGTCTTGAAGGTTCAAGACTGTAATTTTCTGAGGTGCTTCTAGCTGTTTGCTGTCTAGTTGAGATTTAAATTCTAGTCTCTTTTTTACGGTACAGATTTTTCTAAGCTTGTATTCCGTAGATCGCAGCCATTCTGATACTCTTCTCTTCTACTCTAGAACAAGGTTTACTCACTTGAAGCCCCTGCTCAGTTCATGTTTTTTTCTCAAAATGTAAAGAAGTTGGGAATAAGAAGAGAAGTGAAAGTACATAGGCAGTTCTTAATGTGAATATAGAAAGCATTTCAAACTGTCAGTTGAGCTTCAAAGCAGATTTGGACTTCTTTAGCAAGTCTCAGTCAGATAAGGTTGGTCAATAAAAGACTGCTGAAGGCTCTTTCAGCTGCTCTTTTGTGCAGCCTGAACATGTACGTACAGAGGAGCTCAAGCGAAATTCACTGTAGTCACTGTACTTCAGAAGATTCTGAATGTAGACTGCTATCAGAGCACAAATCCTAGAAAAAAAATGGAATTTACAGTAATAATCAGACTATTTCATTTTTAACGTACTGCATGTGCAGAGATTTTTCTTAGTTTAATGACCAGCTTTATTTCCTTGACATGGGTATACCCAGTGATAGTGAAACTGTGTTATTTGCTTGATGAAAATGTGACAAAGTTTCAATTTTTTACCTTGGATAAGCAACGTACTAGCCATGTTCCTTTGTCCACTGGTCTGGTAAACTTGATCTTAATTGCAACTTACTCTTTGCATCTGCAATGTCATTGTAGCTCAGGAGTTTTTTGGAGTATAATAAAGAGTAAATCAAGTTGATGATGAAGATTCTTATGTGCCCTATAATGTTTATATTGGAATTGTTAAAGGAAAATTTAGTTTTGGAGTTCTCTGATGGTGTACCTGTTTATTTAGCAAGAAAGTCTCCTGCTTCTAAAAATTGGTACCACATTCTTTTTTTTCCTGTAGTGGATGACTTGTTCCACTTATGAAAACTTGTTTTATCTTCTTTTGCTAGGGCAATTCCAACTACTATGTCCAAGAAGGGTATCTTGCATCTTTCACAGCCAGCGGAACATTTGCAGGCATCTGTGAAGTGAGGACAGACTATGAAATTAAGTTTGGAAAGGACATAAGATCTGAAAGTAAGGAAGAATGGCTTATGGCCTGTAATGGGAGCTGCAAAAAACTAGAATTGGTATTATCATAATGAAAGGTGGCGGAAGAAAGAGGTATGGCTTGAGCTTGAAAGAAAAGCATGTAACTGAGGAAAGTAGAGTAGAAAGAACACCAACTTATTTTGTGTTCATAAAAGGAGCTTAAATGATAAATTATAAAAATAGTGGAACAAGTCATCTTCATAATAGGCACCTTTTAATAAATCAGATAAATTCATAGGTGACTTCATTATATGGTATTTTCTGATGAACAAAATTGGACTACAGGAAAAGTAAAAATTGACAAGATATTTTTAGCAACTAGAATTATTACTAGAAGTTATATTACCCTTGAAAGATCTTCTGTTCCTCTGTAGTTATACATAGCATTTGATTACACCTACCAAAAAAATCAAAGGCTAGTCAGTTTAAATGGGTGCATAGTACATATGGGTTTATAGTTCATATGAAATAATGGTTAGTGGGTGAGAATCCAGGAAATACCCTCAAGTAACACAGGAAAGGAGAACATGGAAATCAGAAACATGACAGCACTCCTGGCTGTATCCCTTTGGGTCCCATGGAGTTGTCCCATTGGGTCTCATGGACTTGTATGTGTCCAATTGAAATATTCCCTAGCTTGATCCTTCTCCGCTAGCTGGGGCTGTTCAGTTTGGAAAAGAGAAGGTTGAGGAGAGATCTTAACAATGCCTTTATACTTCTGAAGGGAGGGTTTAAGGAGGATGTGGCCAGACTCTTTTCAGTGGTGTCCAGCAACAAGGTGAGGCAACAGGTAGAAACTGAAACACAGGAAGTTCTGTCTGAATATGAGGGAAAACATTTTTACTGTGAGAGTGACTGAGAACTGCCCAGAGAGGCAGTGGAGTCTCCTTCCTCAGAGGTACGTAGAAGCCACCTGGATGCAATCCTGTGCAACTAGAGTACCAGGTGTTGTAGGTGACCCTTTTAGAGCAGGGGCATTGGACTAGATGGTCTCCAGAGGTCCCTTCCAACCTCAGCCTTTCTGTTTCTGAAGCCCTTCTTGTTTCTTCCCAGGTGCATTCCACATGACTTCCCAAACTCCATCCTTGCATGCTTGAACAGTGTCTCTGCATTCCTCCTTAGAGATCTGTTCCTGCCTCTGCTTCTTGTACGTTTGTTTTTTTTTTCTTTCTTTTTTCTTTTAAATGTTTTAAGTTTAACCAGGAACTTTTTGATCATCATTGCTGGCCTTCTGCAACCTTTTTTCATGCTTTTCCTGCTTGTTGAAATGGGCCATTCTTGAGCTTGGGGGAGGAGGAGGAGGTCCTTGAAAAACAACTGCTTTTGGACCCCTCTTCTCTCCAGAGGTTTTATCATTGTATTCTTCCAGCAGATTCCAGAAGAGGCTCGCCTGAAGTCCAGGGTTGTGATCCTGCTTTTTGTCTTGGTGCCCTCTCACAAGATTCTGAACTCAGCCATCTTGTGGTCACAGCAGCTAACAATGCCCCTGACTTTCATATCCCTGACAAGTCCTTGCTTGTTTAAATATGCCATCCAGCAGAGTGCCTCCCCTAGCCAGGAGCTCAGGCCACCTGAATTACAAAGTTGTCACCACTGCATGGGAGAAGCTTCCTGCCAGCAGATAGCAGAGCCGACGACAGGCTGATCAAGGCTCCTGTGGGGACCAGGAGCCGTGAATGTGAGGTTTCTTCCAGGTGCCTGAAGAAGGCCTAACATACTACTACTTGCTCGGGCAGTCTGTAGCAGATGCCGCCCTCTATTGCTCATGTTGATCTAGTCCTGACCCATAATCTTTCAGCTGACCTCTTGCCTATCCCCAGGCAGCAGCCCAGACACTTGTCTGGGCTCCCTATGGAGCAACTCCCTTCCTCACCATCCCACTCCGTCCTTCCTAAAAAGCCTGTCTCCATCCATGGCAGCACTCCATGAATTTTTTGCATCTGATCAAAGTTCAATGCAAATAATATTTGAACATTTGAAGAAAATCAGTTAATTTGGTTCTGAATCTTGCTGAAAGAAGAGAGTTTTTAATGTATTTTAGACTCTGTTTTATTTTTAAAGTAGAAGGTAGAATGCTCAGATGAAACGTTGCCAAAATCAGGAAATATGCTTTAATTTTATTGTATGTATTTGACCAGTCTTTATAGCTTGTTCATCAATGTGTGCACTCCTTCTAAATAGGATAGCGGGCTAAGTGGTCTGCTGCAATTCTTAGGTCTCAAACATGGAGAAAAAAAAACACAAAACAGCAGCTGTATTTAGGCATACTCAGAAATAGGCGGACTATAAAGTATTATTTTATTGTATTTTTAGTATTTTATTTATTTGTATATGTATATACTTTTAATACTTCAGAAAGTAGAAGAAGAGAGTATTTTAATAAATATCTGTACGTTAAGGACTGTATTTTTAATTTTCATTTACACTGAAAAATACAATTTCAGTAGAAGCTGCAGCAGAAATTGCTTACATTAGGAACCCAGGTATTTTGTCATTTATCCTACCACTGTCCCTTCTTACCTAACTCTGTTTATGTTTTGATTTGATTTTTTTTCTCTGCCTTCTGTACCAGAGGAGATGTTATAAGCAAGTGGTTTACACTGCTGGAAACCTTAGTCAGATTCTTTGCCATTAGAGTTATCATGCTTAGCAGAATGAGTTGTGTATCTTCGTAATGATTCCAATGCTCTTTGTGTGTATTTTTCTTTCTTCTATGAAATAATAATTATTGCAGTTGAATTGTCATTTCTTGTTTTGTGCTCTAAGGAAATACTAAGAATGATCCAATGTAAGGAAATAGCTAATAGAAAATAAGCAGATCTTGAAGAGGATCGAAACTGAACAGATTAAAGTTATTTAAAAAAAAGAGTCTTGGCTATTTATTCCTTGACTACGATTTGTATTGAATTACCCACAGAATGGCTTGCAAATTATTGTTGTCTGTAGAAGCAGATTGAGAATTATGTGGAAGAAAACTAGCATTGACTCACAGTGCAGAAATTTCACACCATACATAATGTCTAGTTCCAACAGAATCTTGTGTGAGAGGAAAATATAATGCTAAGGCTTAATTTATGATGTCGTTAATGGCTGTGATAAACAGAAAATAAGAATAACGAGAATATTTAGTCATACCATTTTCCATGAAGAGGAAGTCTCCAGTTAAATTATCCTGTTACTGTATTAGAGTGAATAGTGTTAAAAACAAATAATATAATTTGGATTGCCCTTGCTGATATTTTCATAAAATATATTGAAGTAGAGCACTGTCACTGTTAATTTGGCCTGAAGTTATAAAATAAAATTGTATTTAATGTGCTGCATACTGTCATGTGTTCTTGTGATTATTAACTTAATTTACCACAGCTGTTCGTTTCTGACATTAAAAAAAAATTCTCCCAAATAGATGCATTGTTTTTTCACATGTTAGATCTTTTGTTGCTTTTGATCTGTGTTAAATTTGATTATATGGAACTGCTTAAGGAACTATTTTCTGATTGAAATATGTATTTTTATCTTGATTTTTAATTTCCTCAAGGATAACTTGATTCTAAGTTGCCTTACCAGCCTATTGCTGTATAATTTCTTCACGTTTCACAGAATGTCTTATTAAGTCTGTATAATGCTTCTTTTTGCAGTGCAAACAGGAAGCAAGCTGAGTTGACCTGTGAGTGTTTTCTGTGCTTGTTCAGTGCACAGGAAAAATCTGTTAGGAACCTCTCTCTGTTTTCTTAGTGCTGTGGCACTTGGGTGACTAAAAAAGTATAAAAACTTGCACTTGACCTGGATAGGTCTAGGTATCTTCAGGCTTCTTTTTTTTTTTCTTCTTCTTCTTCTTCTCTATTTTGAGATATCATAAGCATGCTCACCTTTGTTTTATTCTGCGTTCCTGGATTCCTGACTGATGTTCTGTCATTTCAATGTGTCCTTCTACAGGTTGTTGAATGTGTTATGCTGCGAGCTCAATACCCTGTTACTTTTAGAGACTCAGTATAAAGTGTCGCAAGTTTTACTAACTGCTCAGGAGGAAAATGTCATAGAAACTTCTGAAGGACGAGGGTAAGGTGTGACCAATAAAAATGTTATTTCAACATTAAGGCAGTTTTCCTTAAAATGGTTTTATACTTTGCTGATTGTATTCATACAAATGCTGTCACTGAAATTAGCTTCTAAATTATGTGAAATATGATTTTTAAACTGTATTAAATATTATAATGTATAGCAGCATGCTAAAGGCATCATCAAAACTCTGATTTTTTGTGTTTATAACTTAATCAACTCTCCAGTCTTCTGTGACTTTTCATTGCTGACTTTTAAAGTTGCATGATGCACCTTTTCAAGTGAAAAAGTACCAGGAAAAGTCTGTTTGCAGAGCACTGGTGAACATTCATTTAGTTACAGATAGTTTATTTCCCGTTCCTCAGCATGTTGAATGTTAGGAGATTTCCACTGTCTTTTTTGCTGTATGGGACGGGTACAGAGCTTAAGTCAAACAATATGGGCCAAAAATCAGCAGAAAGAGAGTGTTGTTGTCTATTGAAGATGACCTCTGCTCCATAAACAGAAAGTTTAGAAACTTGGTGTATAAAAAAATGTGTTTTCTTCCTTTTAAAAACTTTTATACCTGGAACTACACAGTGACAAGTTGGGTGTGCCTTTAGTTCTGAGTAATTCTGTCTTTTCAAGGAAGCAGAAATTTGCTGCTTGGCCAAATCAGGAACTAAATTTGACTTTACATGAACAGTCTTCTGCCCTGACTGAGCATGGAGGCATAACAACAGTTCTGAAATTTCCTGCTAATGACCACTACTTGCTTAGGTGTTTCCAATTCAGTAGTAGGTAGGAGAAGTAAAAAGTTAGGACAACACTTTCAGACATCTCGAGATAGTTCATGTTTCTATTTATTTCTTCATGTTTATGTGTTGTCCAAGTCTTGGTTTAATTCTGGGGTGTCTCTAAGGTTATTTTTGTTCCTTAATGATTTCTGAAATAAATGATGGTAAATCAAAGTGGTTCTGATTATTTTTATTTTTTTTTCAACAGAGATTTTATAATTGATGGTCTGTCAATTGAGAGAAACCATATTCTTGTTAGAATAAATCTTATTGGAGGACCACAGGAGAGGATTTTGCCTTTAAGAGTACTAGATAAGGTCAGAGCATAAAGTTTAACCATTTCTCTTTCCTTAACTCCTGCCTTTATTAATTGAACATTTTTGTTGGTAGCATATAAGGCATATTACTTAACATTAAGAAATGCAGCTTGCCTTTAGTTTTATAAAGGGCTCTAAGAAGAAGAGGTGTGCTGAAAAAAATATATTGTCTCTTGTATCTGGTGTTCAGCTGGTGCCTAGAACATGACATAAAAGAGATTTTTGTACCAGTGTATTTAAATGCTGCTTCTCCCACTATGAAAAAGAATGCAGTTTGTATATTTTTTTTATTTTTGTATTTCTGAGTTTTCCTTATTAGTTTTCCGTCTGTTAAATCTTCCTCTTGTGTAATTGTTTCTCCCTGCCTGTGTTTTCATCTGCAGTATCTAATACCTGTAACTGGCATTGCTGTTCTAACAATGCAGTGTTTGTTAAGCAGTTCCTTTAAGTGCTCTGCCTCTCAATGGCTGTCATTCTTAAGAAGATGAGATGCAAATTACTGTCAGCATAGCAAAAACAATGAGATCAATCTATAAAAATGGAAATACAGGTTTTTTTTGTGTGTGTATTTTTTGTTTTTTTTTCTTTTGAAAAATGCAGTTTCTCTTTTTGTTAAAAAAATACTAAAAACTCAATGATAAATACTAACATAGGTTCTGGCTGAAATGCTTTTTGGATTTATGTGTCCTATAACTTGTCTTTAATTGTGGATTATCATCTTAAATATTGGTATTTTGGAATATCTCATCTTAAATACGAGTATCAAGCATAGTTTTGGTTTAAAGACAATAGTTCAGTGAATTTTACCTAGTATTAGGTAAATTTACCTAATTTACCTCAGTATTAGTCAAGCAGCTGCTGCTAAAGCATCTCCTAACTTAATTTCTTTCTGGTTATGTTTCTAGGGCAGTGATCCATATCCTTGGCCAATGTTTGCATCATTACCCTTGCCAAACTGCTATCTTTTGAAATTTCCTAAGCAAGCTGATTTCAGACAAGGTATAGAACATGCAAATTGTGTAGATACCAAGCATCTCTGATTTTTGTTCCTTCCTTTCAGTTTATGCTTTCATAAATACTTCATTTTTGGCTGTATATTTTTGGCTGCTAAATAAGTAGGTTTGTTTTTGCTTGTTGTGCCTTGTGCAATCTGCAAAGTTCTATTTAGTAATTTAATTATTATGCAAACTTCAAGATTAACCTTTTGGCCAGGCTCAGGTGGGTGACTCATGAGATATATTTATGTTATATCTCTACGGTAACTGAAGCAAGACAGTACAATTAAACTACACTTTTTTGTGTGTGTGTGATTGTTTCCTGTGTTTTCAAAACTTGGTGGTGTGTGAAACAGAGAGTGTTTAGGATAGTTGTTGTTCACATTGAACATCACTTTGGAGTGTGGGCAGGCTGAAGAATCCTTTGAAGACCTATGTAGGCAAAGGAGTTTAATCCATCTCAAAGAATCTTTTTTTTCCCCTCAACTTTTAATTTGTATAGATGATCCAGAAAAATCTGGTGAATTGTCATAATAGATCATTATTTGTGCCTGGTTGTATTCACTATATCCTCCAGACTATATCCTCGCAAGCAATTATTCAAAATTACTTGTGAATTTCTTGAGATTTTCAAAAGTGTAACAAATGAAGAGTATGCATTATGAGTAGGTCAAATAGAAAAGAGTTGGCAAATTTGTCAAGAGTAAATCAGTCTAATTTGCTTCTTTGACAAGACAAAGACAAGTTATACAAGAAGAGAAAAACTTCTTAAACTTTACCTTAGTAGTAATGTTACATGGTTCTCAATACAATTTTCATAAGGTAAGGATTAAAAAAAAAAGTTCCAGATCAAATCGCTATAAAATGATTGGAAATATATTAAAAAAAAAAAAAAACTTTAAGGAGACCTTAGCTCTACTACGGAGGTGTTAGCTGCTGCTATCACACTGGAAAATTATATTTTGAAGAATTGCACAGAATCTTTCTCTGTTCTCTCGGTTGGAGCAACTGTGTTACTCAAAAGTAGCAAGTTGGATAATGGAGTAGAGATTGTATTTCTGAGTTTAGGGGCACGACAACTAACTAGGAGTAGAACTTGGTGAAATCTTGTCAAGTAACACTGAATTTGCTCAAAAGAAGCCTGGAGGATATTCCATCTACGACAGAGAGGAGGTGATTCTTCCCATCAGCTGAGGCCAGTGAGTCCTTGCCTAGAGCACCTCCAGGCTACCCTGGGAATCACGCTCTGAGGAAAACAAATATGAGAGGTTCTACAGCACAGTGACAAGAGCCATTAGTGACGTTCACAGATGCGAACTTTGAAGCATGATACTTGAGCACAGATCGAAGAAATTAGAACTGGCTGATGCAGAAGTGATGCAAGTCGGATTATATAATAGGGGGTTGTAAAGAGGGCAGATTGATTTGGTTTCCATGTCCCTTTGCAGAAAAAGGAGTAGTTGGTTGAGCTGGCCAAAAAGATTTGTCACAAATTAATAAAAAATTATAACAGGATGCATCTGAGAAAATCATGAAATATTTGTTGGAGATCTTGTGAACAACTCTTCTGAAGTGGTGAGTATTCAGAATTTGTTAGGCAACTTGACTGTTTTAAGAACAGCCTTAAAACCTCAGAGCTAGACAAGCAGTTACTTGATTTTAATTCTGCTTCAGTGAAAGGTGAGCAGGGCTCATACAGAGCTCATCAAGAGTTAGCAGCCATACAAACACTCAAACACTCTCTATGGGTGGGAATGGATTTGTTATATTTGTAATATTGCTATATCTATCACTAATAAGCTATGGCCAGCACAGTATTTCTGCAGTATCCTGAAGATGTCTGTATTTGGATTTCATGCTGTGGAGGTTTTATGCAACCTGTACGATATCATTTCTGTTGTCTTGACAGTAGCTTATATTACATGAATAATTAAAACCACTGGATTCTTAGCCTTGTGTAAGAATGTAGCACTAATTTGGGTGAAATGGAAAAGGTTATAACTATAGCCTTTATTTTCTCTGCCTTGACCTCTTACTTACCTCCACTCTTTTTCTCCCAGGAGATAAACACCTGAAGAGAAACTCACCTTTTCTTTTTCCTTTCAAAATTGGCTCCTTGTTCTGTTATTGTGCTGTTAGCTGCGGAAATATATCCTGAGACTTTTTTGTCAGTGGTTTTGGTTTTTTTGTGTTTGTTGGTTTGTTGCTTGATAAGTGATGTCTGCGGAATGGATATTGGAGATTGCTGGGGAAGGAAGAAATGCCCTTTACAAAAGTGCACGGAGAAATGATATTACTGTCTCTGAAGTTGTTTTCTTCTGACCCCTTCCTTCAGATGGTGTTGAAGGACGGATGCAATAAAAGAACCTTTATTTCCTAGGTGTCTCTGCTAAATGAAGGTTGTCTTTTTGAGCGCAAGCCGAAATTACTTGGTGAATATTTTGAATCTAGACTGGCTATTGCTCTCTGAAGAGGTTACGGATTATTGAGGTCAGGGAGCAGTGAACTTCCTTTCTGTGAAACCAGACCTTATGTAGGTACTTAAGGAAGTAGCTGAGATAACAGAAGCCATAGATGTAGTAACAGGTGCTAGGTGTTTGTTGAAAAGGCTTATGCACATTGAATTTTCTGCTGAGAAAATTCAATAAATAGTATAGTTTTTCTATCCTTTAATTCTGTAGTAAAGTAGTAGTAGTAGTAAATGCATCAGTAGGACCTTTCTGGTTTGAACAGTTGAGTAGGGGGAAGATGAATTAGCTGTAAGAAAACACAAAGCAGTGCTGATCCTGCAGCGACAGGAACATCTATTCCCAGCAGCAGTGCCCGAAGCCTGCATCTAGGGAGCACTTACTGTTACGCCCTGCGTCTCAATGTGGTGCTCTCAAACATATTGGCAACTGGATATTTTGCCTCGTCAAACTGAAAAAGAAGTTATCATTTATGCAGGCAAAATTAGTACCTGCATTTCTCCAAGTATGGTGATATTCTCTAATGGGCAGAGTACCCGGAGGGTGTGTTTGTATTTAAGGAACATCTGTAGCACTTCACTCTTAACAAATATCTGCCCCATTTCTGCAGGTGTTAGGCATTCGTCTATATGGGATATATTGCCTTAGGAAAGGGTATATGGAAAAATAAATTTGCTGAGTTGCAATTTAATTTGCCTTAATTATTTCAAGCAATATTTAGAGTTGGAAAACTATTGGATGGCAGTATATTAACACTTCATTTCTGTCAAATATAATTCATAGTGAAGCTTCAAATGATTTATGGAGATCCTTATTTATATGTGGAAATTAATTATGCTATTTCCACCTGTTTGCACTGCAGCAAGATACCCTGTTGCTTTTCTTTTGTCTTAATTGTTCAATTATTATTTTAGTAACATAATTTAGTAACATAATTTGAGAAGGAGCTGTTAAGTGCTTTTCAAAGAGTTGTACAGCCCTTTGTTGTTCAGAGTATAGCTGTTATGTGGTTTATTTTACTTGTAATATTTTCTGTAGGTCTTTTAAGGTTAAGTAACTGCAACATTTACTGTTTTATTTGTTAAGTTTTTGTTGTTTTGTTTTTTTAGCTCTACAGTTGTAACAGCTGTTGTTCAGAGTGCCTGAACACTGGATTCTATAAGTTTCCTACAATGATGCTTAGCATTTTCCTTATGTATACACATCCCCTTACTTTCTTCCTGACTCATGCAGTTCAGAATTGCATTAGAAAAGATTTTTTCTAATTTTTTGTATTTTGCCAAAAAAAAAAAAAAAAAGGAAAAAGGAAGATGCAAGTAAGAAATTCTCTGGTTCCATTTTGTTATGGAAACAAAGTTTCTGTTATCTTTCAGGGCTGTCCTGTAGCTTTCCCACCTGGGCAGCTGTCAACGATGCAGGAATCCCAGCAGCCTTTTGTATTCAGGGAACAAAGGTGCCTGGGAAAAGGCTTTGATATTAATTCTTTCCATTTTGTGTGATCAGTGTTTTCTATTAGAAAACTGGGTTTGGTCAATTTTAACTTAAAATTACTTTATAAAATTTAGCATTAAAACTTGAAATTTCTTCTGCCTTTTGTTAAAAATAAACTGAATAGTCACCCCTTTATATCACTATTTTCTATCAAATTGTGCATAGGGTAAGAAATGCTCTGGTTTTGACAAGACATATATATGCAAAATTATTTTATTTCTTTTAATTTCTATTTTGCATTAGCCAGTATGCTGGGTCGTCATGTGTCAAGCTAGCTTGCTTATAGGTGCTGTTCAGTGTGGATCCCAGGACAGACATTCTGCTTCCTGACGGTGGTTGGTTTAAAGAGAGAATTCCTCTAAGTACAAACATTGAAAGGCAGCCCAAAATTTTCAGCTATGATGCTGAAAATGCGGGTTTTAGTTTTGTCACTGTGCTTCTCTTCTTTTCAAGACCCTTTTAGACTGAGCTAGTTATGAAATTTACTGCCTCAGCCTGTGATATTGTGTACTATAAAAGTGGCAAAATATGTGTAATTTCCTCTAGTTCTGTAGAAAATAGAAGGTGAAAAAGCGTTTTATTGCTAAGAGAGAACATACTTACTCTCCTTTTGTTATTGCATCAGTACTGGTTTTAATTTTGAAGGCATGTCTCCCTATTGTGTAGGAAAAGAGAATATGGTTTTAATAACAAGGTTAAGGTAACAGTAAGGAGCTATCTTTGAAACCTTTTCATTTTCTTTGTGTTAAAAAAGATTCTTTCACAAAGGCTTTTTGTTGAACAGATACACGAATTTGTTTTATGCCGAAACTGAACTCATAAGGCATTCATGCATTTCGTCAGATGTTGTCAGATATATTTGTTCCTTATATGTGTCAGCATTATTCCAGGAGACCCTGTTTTAGTGCTTTGGTACAAAGTCTAAGGGTTCGTAAATAAAAAATGCCTGAATGAAATTGTTGCAACTTCTGACAACACCAAAGAGGGGCCCGTGGCCCTCAGCTGGAGTGTCTTGGGTGCACCTGAAATCAAGAATACAACGTGAAAATCTAATAAGGTTTTATGAATTTTGTGACTAAACAGAACTTGTAAGTTGACTCTTACATTACTTACGTTACGTTACTTGCAAGTTGACTCATTTCAGTGACAGCAAAAGCAAACTTTCAGTGTCACGATGTGTCTCCATTTGAAGTCCCTGGGTTAAATCTGGGAAATTCCAGAGAGCATCCATAAAGCTGGTATAAAATCTCTCGTACCATGGACAACCCAGTATATTTTTCCCAAATGTACTAGATGTATGTAGCAACATGAGGCTTAGCATCTGTCCAGACTAGAAGCATCTGAAGGAAACCTGCTTATATAAAGAGGCAGGGATTTTCCATGGAGTACCATTACTTTGACATCAATCACATTTCATTTCATGTTCAACAAAAAGGTGCTCCCCCTTCAGTTTTCTTATGCATTTGATGACATTTATTGGAGCTTTGATTTCTCCCATTTCTCCCCCCCCCCCTTTTTTTTTGTTAAGAGTCATGAAATGACATGGAAATATCAAACTATTTAAAATATGTTTTCACCTCTTACGGTTTGGGGACAGGGAGGTTATAAAATGTAGGGGTAGTAAAAGATATGTCTCAGGAACGTCTTAAATGTTCAACACCCTACAAGTAAATTTTCTGTATAAAGTGAAATGTCATCAGCTTTAGGACTACCTACTTCTCCAGTGTAAGTTTCGCAGGATAAGGGATAGTTTGTTGGTCTTTTCTTCCTGATGTGTGAGGGCCGCCAAAATACCATGTAGTGACAAGGCTTTCAGCTGTATCTGACTCCTCTTTTTCTCTGAAATTATTTCTGGTTTCTGAATGCATCTGTTATATACATTGGGTATTTTGTAGGTTACAGCTTTTCATTAATTAGTATCATTAAGGTTGTTTTTAAAGAATGATGCTCTTTCTTCTTTATTCTAGATAATGATCTGGACAAGCTCTTATCACTTTTAAAAAATCCAGATAAACAAACAGGTTGGGCAGAAAACTGTAGAAAACTTTTCTGCAAAGTCATGAAAGCCAAACCTGACATCATCAGCGGAACGAGTGAGTATTGCTTCTTCATTTAAACAAAAGCAAACAAAATGCTATTAGGAGCATTTTTCCACTGAGAATGAAATTAAATTGACCATTTATTTTATTCAATTAGTCCATTTTGTATTGATTATGAGAATTATTTTAATTGTGATTTTTTTCCTATGAGATCAAGATTTATGCTTCATGTTCTGTTCGTATCCATGCTTTTGTCCACCAGCCCTGTGAATAACCTTTAAACCCACTGGTGGTTTTGTGCAAAATCTGATAGAGGAAGAGGGTACATGATTGTGGTTTTCAGAAAGTGGAAAGGAGAGCCTGAGAGAAAAGATAAATATTTTCCAGGTATCAGTGAATTACTTTAAAGGGGAAAATAAATGATATGAAAAGCCAATTCTGTTAGTTTTCAGAACTGAGCCTCACTAAACATCAGTGCATCCACTCATTCACTTTCTTTTTTTTTCTTTTTTTCATTCTGTGTGCAGAATGGGTAATGGATAGTGAGCTTGTACTACAGCATTGGTATGAGTCAGTTAAAACAAACCAACTATCCAAAACAAAATCAGCAATTGCCTATGTGACATAAATCACTGGAAAACAGATTTGTAAGAGAAACTTACATAAAAATGACGAAACTACGTGCTTTCAGGAAATACTGACTTGCAGTTCTTGAAGATTATAGGTTGTAATTTGATTATCTTCTGATTATAGAAGATGCTTAGTACATGGTCTGATCTTTTGCTTACATATTCCAAAGACTTCCCTTTAAATTCTTTAGGAAACCAATCTATACCACTGACAGTCAAGGCAGAAGAAATATATTCTATGTGAAATCAAAGTAACGCAATGTGTGGTTTGTATAAGAAACCTGAATTTTACCATAATCTGTAGAGCTATATAAAAATTCCAGGGTCAAAGTCGTTTATAGAGGAACTGATTCAGTATAAAAACAATAAATAAGAAACTTTCACTTGCGTAAATGGGATTAAAGTCTGAAATTATTGAAATTTTCAAAGTTCTTCAAGCTTTGCATTCCTGTAGCTTGTTTGAAATGAGTTTGTGTTTATAATCAGGTAATGATAATTTAGTCAGACCTTTTACCTTCCATTCTGAGGAATGCGTGTCTGTAGACAGAAAATATTTGTTTATAATGCATATATGTGTTTATTATGTATATTACATTGTACACATCCACAAATGGATGTATTCATTCAGAAAGTAAGGGGACTCTAGTAAAACAGATGAACAAATGGAGATTTGTAAACTGAAGTACCAAATGTGATTTATATGAGCTTCTGCTATTGTAAGAAGAATAAATTGAATAGAACACTTAAAAAAAAAAATCTACGTTTTGCTAGCAATAGAGATATGTTTCCTTTTCTTGCTTATTTCTTACAGAACTAGTAATCCAGTGAGTGTTTTTTTTTTTTAATGTTACACATTGTGAAGCACAACTCACTCTTTGCAAAATCAATTTATTTGAATATAGCATATTTTCTAAACAGATATCTTCTTGGATTACATGAAATTCATGTTAAAATTGTTAGTCTGTCTTCTGACATACAAAAGGAATTACATATTGTATATTAATTTATACAGGAATTTATAGGAATTGTATATAAGAACAGAACATATGCTTAATGTAGTTGGCTTACAAAGAAAAATGAAACAAAATTATTTCATGTTTTTTAGTATTGTACTACAGACAGCCTCAAACCTGTGTAGGTTGTTTCCTGCAAGTTTGCTTGGAGGTACCAGCAGTTAGAATTAGGAATTTAAAGAGAATCATTAAAATTTGTTTACCCAAAAGGAAGAGATTAGGGTTTCTTCTGAATAACTGTTTCCAGCTGAGATGGAGCTGGATGTAAAAGCAAGGCAGAAAGCTATCCATGAAATTTTTAGTCTCTTTCACAGCTTTTCTAAGTGCGTTCATAAGCCACACAAGTAAGTGTAAAATTGAAACAGTTTGGCTTAATGAAATACTAAATTAAAAAAATACTATTAAAGACTAGCACTAACGTAAAGTGGCGCTACATTAAGGTGAAATCTATGCTGCTCTTTAAATGAGGTAGATCTGCATGCAGATATTTCAGAAACAGCACTATTTCTGCTAGCTGTGTGGTTTGAGACAATATTACATTCACAGAAACTTTTCTGTGAGAAGCAGCTGTGCTGCCGCGTGGGTTCCCTTTTTAGGAGAGTGTGGTTTAAACTTCAGCCTTCACGAGATGAAAGACTTGAGTAAGTTCAGCCTGCAGTCCTGCAGTGTGCTCTCCCACAGGCTCTCGTGTGCGAAAGAAACTTCTCCAGGCTATCATTTCAAAAAGGCGAATCAGAGCGGCTGAATTAGATTTCCATTCTAAATCGGTTCTCCCATGAACCTGTTTTTCTGTATAGTAACCGCGTAAGTTTTCCAAGCACAGTTTCATCTTTTTAAATATTACCCGAATCTTCTGTCTCCAAGATAATTCAATTAGATCTAGATTCTGTTAATTCGTTACCTACTTCCCCCTTTTTTTGGTATGACCAAATTCAGAATATAACATTTGCCAAAGAGGATTTGAAAATAATACAAAAAGATGCTTACCTTTTTGTCCTTACCTGATTTTTGAAGACTTGTTTCAGAACCAAAATGTAGTTCTTTCAGGTCATACAGGAACCATAATTGCAAATTAAAATTTCTTTCTTTTGTCTTCCAAACCAGTTTGGTACAACTTCCAAAGGGCTATCTCTTATGTAGTGTAAGTGTCTGTGAATGTGCATGCATGCGAGAGAAGATTACACTGTTTGATTAGTGTTGAATTTAAAAGGTTTGTTTTCAATTATTAGAGAAGATGAAGATGTTAAAAGTAAGATTTTTTTTTTCTTGAAGAAAGTACAATTGGTTCCTTTCTTATTTCACTGTATAAGAATCAACAATCTCTGCGACTGATCCCGGGGATTGAAAAAGGGCCTCTTCATTGTTGCTGTAAATAATGGAATTGCTGACAAAGCTTGTTATAGATTGAATAATTTGAAGCTGATGGAGTTAGAAGTCTCTGACCGCTCTTACAAAAGGAAGCCAACTGCTCAAGATGTTCTCTCCTGAATTTGTAACTTCTACCATAAGTCATAGAAGACTCCTAACTCCTGAGAGAGTATTTTTTTCCTGTTTGTTTGTTTGCTTTAAACACTCCTTAAACTTCTTTGAAGCATCTGAGAGTTGGTACATAATATGATCTAGTAACACTAGAAAATTCTAGAAAATTCTGATGCTTTTTTTAGAGTATATTTAAAGCAGCTCTCTAGTGGCACCTTGTAGTTCTTGTTTTTTTCTGGCTTAAACACTTCCGTGTGTAGCTACTGGATAACCCCTTGTGGTGGCTACATATTAACAGTTTGAATTGTATCTTTTTATCTTTATTATTATTATTATTCATTACTGTGATACTGTTTAATTGTTATAATTGTTTAAAAGCAATTTTGATTACCAGTCTTTTGTGCTTTAATTCTTTATGAATGACTTCAAATGAGTGCTTTTAAACAGTCCTGGCTTTAATGTCCAGCGAGCTTTCTAAATTTGGTTTGTATACTTTTTCAGTTGAAGGAAAAATTATTGGGACAGTTTCCATCTTCATAAGCATTTTCAGAAGGTTTGTAAATAACAGCTAATTGGCTTAGTATTAAAACACAAAAAGAGTAGTCTAGATCACTTGTCATTTCACATGAACATTCTCTTGAAAGGCACTATGTCTTGTGAAAACCTTGCATTTGTGTATTAACCAATTTGTTTTGATACACTCCACTTCCGTGTCTCTCCCTCTCTCAGACTTGATTAAAAGCTTTCAAAGATCCTGATAGGCACTTAGATAAATACGTTTGAATGGTGAAAATCTTGTTTTGGGCTTGAGTTTCAAAAAAACGCGTAGCACTTGAGCTGTCACTTCTCCCATTAACTCAAGCACTGAGCTGAAATATTTGACTGTTAGGTCAGGCATGTGGATGCCTTCCAACAGGAAGGAAACAAATGTACAGCGCTCTGACTCGATTTTAAACTTTAAGACATATATTTAAGACATATATCTGTACTAATCTGTACTATTCCATAAAAAATAATTAAAATATTAATTTGCACTGGCAAATTTCTTTAGTATCCTTAGAAGAGAAAGGGGTAGAGGAACCTCTTGATGCAGTATGCTTTCAGAGCAATATCATGAGCTTTCCCATACCCTTGCAAAAAAATGATACAATTGTTCAAGTGAAGTCTATACGACTAACTCTTAAGTGCAGTTTACCTTTCCAAGTGTAAGCCCTTTTTTATAGTTTCTTTGATTAAAAAAAAGACTGCACAGAACAATTATTCTGATATTCACAAAATGAATAAACTGTTGTTCTGTAAAATAAATTGCATTTTGCTAATCCATTTGCTTTATTAGAGCCATGTTTAAAAGAAGCTATATAATGTTTAATTAGCAGTTTCTTCTGCCTGTAAAGAAAGTGAAAGAACAAAATTTATATGCATAATTTATTTTGATTTCCCAAGAGATGACTGCTTGTGTTTATGAAGTAGTCTTTTGCAATGCAAAATTAATTCTTTACTGTTGGATCTTTCTGCTTTAACTGCACAATGTGTTTAGCTGTTGTAGTGAAACGTCTCCTCCTCCTGCCCCCCATCAACACATGAACACTGAAGCTCAAACTATTAAAAACTTTATGGGCTGATTCATGACTTATGAAATGACAGTTTGCATTTATTTCTAGAGTTGTGCAAGCATTGCATTCTTTTAAATGTTTTAGGTCACAAATAAGGAAGAGTTATGATTTCATGTCAATATATTAGCTTAAAGTGATTGGAGGAAGACTAAATTTTTGTCTTTATGAGATTTTTCTTCATTATTTTTCTAGCATAAGAGGCATCAGGCTGCAGGCAGAGCTGATGTTTGGGTTTCCTCCCCCTCACACACTAAATAGCTTGCACTGCAGGCTCCTGTGTTAGTTTTCCTGCTGGGAAGGCTAGTTCCAGAGTTCCATGTCTTTTTTCCATCACCACCTCCACCGCAGACTGCTGTGCCTTGCTTGTGCTTCTAGTGAAATCATCTAGCTTTAAAACACCAAGGCTACCTGTGGGTGCGTGGAGATAATGTGCGGGAATGGATGAGCGCAGTGCAGCTCGAGTTCCTTCTGCTGGCGAACTGCTGAGGAAACGATAGCGTGCGCAGGAAACCCCAAGGGCTGCGGCGCTCATTGCCCTCTAAATCCTCCTCCTCGCTTCAGATCGTTGTGAAAAGAAAGTTGCAGCACTGCTTTTTTCAATTCAATTGATCATGCAGCTGTCTTGGGATAACATTTACTTATGAAAAAAATGTTGTTTTCTTGAATTTTTGATATGCGTCATCTTAGTATGGGCTTTCTCTGTGCGGTATGTGTAAAGGCTTCCTTGTATCCTTTTGCTTGAACCTGTAAGAAGCTGCAGGAGTATCAAGCTTACAGAATCAAGGATTAGCAACAGTCTTTGCTAATGATTTTTCAGAGAGATTTGTAACTCTCATGGAAAATTTCCTGTCTAATTTCCTGGTTAATATTCTGTTAAGGTATGAGATGCGATTTCTTTTAGATATGATTTCTTATCTAGAAACCAGATTTCATCATCTGGCTTATCTATGCAGTAGCTGCAAACTTCAAGAATCAAGCAAGAACTTCATGCTCATTATAGAAAATAAATTTTCTGAAAGGAAATTCTCCTGTCACTTAAAATTAAGTGTGTAATTTTTATCTTGTGATTGCATAGGCAATCTTATATTGTTTACTGGAAACAGCTCTTAAAACTTCATTAACTTTTACTGGTATAGAGGTTTTTGCTTTCCTGTCTACACACACACAGACAAATGAGATAAGATATTGTAGCTTAATTTTAGCTAAATTTCATTTTATATTTACACCATGTAACAAATTATAAAGTAATCTTTGGAGGATATAAAGATAATATGTGATTCCCTTTCCCTTTCAGCTTACACTGAATGTATTCTCAGTAAAGCTATTAAAATTTAATTTAGGTTAGGAATGATGTTAGCAATGCAAAAGCACAAGGCATGCTTAGAGTTGTTCCCCCGTAAAAACATGCATAAACATGCAGCTATTCAGATAGCTTTATTTACTTGCATGCTGTCATCTTGTAATGTAGTTTTACATTTTGTTCATTGCCTCTAATGTTCTAATGGGTTTTTGCTTTTTGTAGTTTTGGCCGAATTAGTGGAAAAGTTTGTGTCGCATCTTTCGGAAAACCCATCGGATTGTTATTTCAGCGCAGGGGACTGTAAAGGTCAGTTTCCTAATAATTCATTACCTTGCAGCCTCTTTGTATTTCAATTACTTTTCTTTTAAATGCATTTGTAACATTTTGGGCGTTGTTGAAAATATTCTCGAACAGCTCAGAAATGCATTGCTTAACTGATGGGGAATACCTTGTTTTGGAGGAAAATATGACTTTGAGGAAACAGTGCAGATAGATAATTATTAGTGATGTGTTTCCATATTTCTGTACAGGCAGTGAAGAGACGGAGGTGAAATATAGGTGCGGTATGATATAAAGTATGTGCTGACACCTCCTACAGAATGATTGGCATAGCTGACAGCATAGCTCATATCAGGAATCAGTCTCATCTATTGAAAACCTCATAATATATGATCACCCCATAACTATGCCAGTTGTATACATTAGGTACTTTTTAAACATATTGAGTATGTATTTTAAAAATAATGTGAGAGTCGAAGGAACAGAGTAATGAATGTTTCTTACATAGATCCTGCTTACAATCAAGAATAAAGAATGAATGATGATGTGATTTATTCTGAGTGTAAAGTAACAATTTTAAATATTTGAAATGCAAAATGAGAACATTTAGATGAACTTTTAATTCCTACTCAAAACCACAGATTTGTTGCTATCTGCCCAGGACTATTTCTGGGTAGGTCATTTTGGTTAGTCATTACCAGTATTTATTCAGTAATAAGAATACTCAAGAATCTAACCAACTTTGGGGAGAACCTGCATTTATACACTTATTTTATTGGCACATACATAGAATGCAAATACAGTGTCCCAGGGAACCACAGGCTTGCCTTTGAAGTTTCAAAGCATAAAATCACCTCGGTAATTTACAGGACGATTTTCTTTTATGTAGTGGCCTTGCCTTTAGCTATCTACCTGCTGTTAGCTTGCTGATAGAATACCCTTAATTTTACTTGAGAATCTCTCCCTTTGCTTATAGAGTTGCTGAAGTACCACTTCTTCTGATACTACTAAACATTTTTCCTCAGAAGATCAATTCTTGTAAAATTGAATCCCAACGTTTCCTAAACCACACAAATAAAAAGTCCTTGTGTGACCTGTATCAAATTGTCTTTTAGGTTTTGAGTTCTCAGAAAGCACAACAAGGAAGAAAAAGCTTTTTATGGTCTCATAAAACTTGCTATTTATGTATTTCTGACCTTTCTCAATTCAAGTTATGACTCGGATGTTTCCTTTAAGAGCCCTCATAATGGATTCATTTCATTGGTTGACACCAGAGTACCCCTCTTGCTCCCTTCTTGCTCCCTCTATAGGTCGTAGATCAGTCTATCGCTCACTCTCCAGCAATATGGAGAGTAATATGTCTCCATATAAAGAGACAGAGTGAGAGGGCAAATTTAATCTAAAATATATTGTTAGATTTGAAGAGACACAAAGTTTGGAAATTCTATGATAATCACACTCACTAAGTACATTTTTTGGAACTAAAAATCCCAAAGAATAGTTATGATTGATTTTTGTGATATTTTCATTTGCAAACACTTTTGAGGTTCTAAGTGTCTTAATGAAGACAAGTTATAACCAGTAGTGTGATGGTCAAAGCACTTCTGTCAAATGTAGGTAAGGGGCAGTTGTTCCTTTCATGTTTTGTTTCCCTGTCAGCAACACCATTGTCAAAGATTCTTTGGGAGAAGAGTTCTCCAGTCCAGGAAATGGTGTTTTTCAGTCAAGCAGAATATGCTCCAACCTGTTTGTATTTTGAGTTTTATAGGAAAATGGTATTTAAATTTTGTCAGCGTGTTTTTCAGTCAGGTATTGAAATGAATATTGGCCGTGAAGACTAACCAATGAAGTTATTAACATTAAGTCACTTATTAACATTAAGTGAAACAAAAATCTGGCTATAAAATTGAATCTATGGTTGTACTCCACTCTGGAAGATTTAAAGGACTTGAATCTAAGAGTCACTTGTAGAGATGAATTACAGCCATTGCAGATTCTTTTAGACATAATAAAACACGCAGTGTGAAATTACTATAAAAGTGAGAAATATGCTTTAAGACCCAAACTGCATATTTACATTTCCTATATTTGTACAGGATGGACAAGCAAAACACGTTCAAAATACTTTTTCTTTAATATTGGGTTTCTCATTCTGTCAAGGATTAAATAGTGGTTGGCTAGATTTATATATATTCCAAGATTTTTTTTCTGGAGTTTCTAAAGGTGGAAATTTCTCCAAGCAGCACAGTTAATTACTGAATGCCATCCTAAAACTGCTGTTACAGTAGCGATATCTTCCTGGTTTCGCAGTAGCTAATGAGTTGCTAGAAGGTAAGCAGTATTCTAGATGTGTCTCCTAGCTCCAGACCCAAGTAAGCCAGAGACACTCTTGACAAGTTCATGTGTACTCCATTCACTCTCTTGAATAAATTTGGGATCTGAGGAACTGGAAAACCTTTTCTAACAGCTGTTTAATTTTAATGAAGAGAAGTCACAATTTTCATGCAAGTAGTTTCAGTACAATGCATAGATATTCAGTGTTTATCAAGTTCCTTGAAATGAGAAATTTATTATCTTAAAATATGACAGCTTTATAACCTGTAGGTGTAATTAAAATAGCACAGTCATTTGTCTGCTGTGGAATCCCTCAGGATTTTCAGTCTATTAGAAAACTTGAAAATATGGAAAAATCAAATTAGTTTGGGTTGTTATCATTTGCAAGGTAAGAAAGAAGGAAAAATGTCTGATAAGCTACTACATAGTTGCAATGTTTAATTATAACCAGTATCACAAATCTTACGTGAAGTTTACTTCTTCTAGCAGCAGTGGTTTTGCTCTGACCTGGATTCAGATGACAGTACAAATACATAGAATGTGGACTTTAAATGTTAATGAACGCTGTCAATACTCATTTGCTTTTGTTTTTTGATTTATTTTTTCTTAAAAATGAACCGTATTCCTTGAAAGCCAAGTCATTGATGCATAGCTGCAATAGGATGGCATGGAATTGGAATTTGCTGTAGTATTAACAAAGACATTGTGTGCACTAGAGGTGTAAAGTTTTTAAACGGGAAGCTGTCAGTGTAGCTTTTCTCAGAGGGATTAATAGACAAGAAACGCAGGACTACACCCATAAAAGACATTTTGCCTATTGCCGTTTTTTTTCTTTTGTTTTGTTCATTTTGTTTTTTAATTAAAAAATGTAATTGGACTGAAAATGTGGTTGTTCAGCTTATTCAGCAATGGTAAGTTTAGTGATGATCCCAAACTGGGAGGAGTGGCTGATGCACCGGAGCGATGCGCTGCCATCCAGAGGGACACGGACAGGCTGGAGGGATGAGGGGAGAGGAGCCTTGGGAAGTCCATGGGGGGCAAAGGTAGGATCCTGCCCCTAGGGAGGAGAAACTGCATGTCCTAGTGCAGGTGGGAGGTCAACCTGCTGGAAAGCAGCTCTGTGGAGAAGGACGAGGGAATCCTTCCGTGATAAATTGAAGAATATCTTAGGAGTGAGGGAAGAGACTAAGGGGAATTCTCCCATTAGTCATTCTGGGAAAGAGAAAGAAATCATAATCACTTAAAAATAAATAAGACAAGTACATCAGAATTGCCCTTCTTTTGATAAGATTTGAAAGTCAGGGAAACAAGTGTTGGAAACAAGAAGCAGTTTTTCAAGTTGTAATAAGAAATAATGTTCATCATCATTTATTGTATTCCCTTCTTTTTCCATTTAAAGTTACCCTGGCAATTAATAGTTGGCAATCTTTGGCTCTTAAAAGCATTTTAAAGTAAGCATGTTCTGTTTTTAATGAGCAAGATTGTATTAAATAGTGAATATTTTTTTAGAAATATTGGAAGAAGGCATACCGATGTATCTTATGATTGTGCTTCAATAGAAGCACCTTCTGTAGGATGCTCATTTACCGTAGGTTGTGAGTAAAAACATGATCTCATGGCTAGATAAAATATATTGTTTATATTTTTAAATGGTCTAGCCTTATCGTTGTGTTCTTTAATGCATTTTAGAATGATAGATAAAGTTTACTTTATAATCCATTTTATTTATTATAAATCTTTAGTGCTCCTAAAGAAGCATGTGGAATTCTGACATCCTCACTGTCACTAGCTTTGATTTAGATGAACTTCCTTTTACAATACTTTTGTTAATTTAGATATTTAAAATATTTGTTTCATGTTTATTATTAATATTATTATTATTATTACTATGAATGGACTATAAATGGAAAGCTATTGCATAGTTTATTAATCTTTTCCATACATTAGATAATGCTCTGGCAACTTCTCTTTTATTTATATTCATTCAATTTAATAAAAATAACAATGCTGTATCATATCCTTTTCTAATTCAATGTTTAGAGATGTGCTTTGTCCATTGAGGAAAAATTCTTATTTAGAAAATTGATCTTTCAATACCTTTCTTTTGGAATCCGTTGTGTTTCAAAGCCGCAGTTATATCAGTTTTATTGATAAATATCTGTCAGATGAGTTTTGCAGAAAATTGAACTCTGTATTAAATCAGAGCTATTGTGGACTTCATTACAATAGTGCTTTCAGTGCATTCCTTTTGTCAACTTTTTATTTGTAATCTGCACTATATCAGCATCCCACTTAGTAGTAATAATTTTATAAGCTTAAAGGAGCACTTAAGGTTTCTAAGTCTGATTTTTAATCAGTGGAAAGTAGTCCTTTGTGTATTCTAAATGACTTTATAGTTTTTTAAAGCCTACTATTCCCAGTCTATTAATTGGAAAACAAAACGGAAAATCAAGACTTTTGACACAGGCCAAAGAACTACAATTTGTATGTTCCCCTTGTGAGTTGTGGATTGGCAGTAACTCAACTGCTTGGTTTACAGACGTATGATTATATCAAATATACTGGTGTACAAAAGCAGGAGGTTTTGCCTTGAGGCGGCGCTGAATCATATTATATTGTTATTCAGTCCAAACTCCATGTTAATTTTATCTTCTTTCACAATACAGAAGAAGATATCAGAGGGAAAACTGATAAGGCAAAAACCCTTTTCAGCAACTAAGAAGTTATTACAATGGAGAAGAAAAGGCAGTGGAAATGGATGAAATCAGTTGTGTGCTTTTAGCCTTCATAGGCAATAATAAGCATTCAGCCCGCCCCATGGGCCGATACCAAAGGAAAGCCCTGGTCCCGATCAGGGCTTGTGTTGCAGCCGTTCCTTAGGACACTGCCGTCAGACTCCGTGACCAGCTCCAACCTCATCAGCCCCAGAGAGGCCAGGATTCCTTCTGCTTTAGAGATTTTTGTGCTGTTTTGGTCTCTCCTGCCATTGAATACAGTGTTGGGAGGACTGAATTAACCACGAATCGTTCAAACTGCCCCTGGTTTCTCACCTGTCCGGTAGTCTAGGATAGAGTACATCTCTGGCCTCCACAATTGCAAATAGGAACTTGGAAACAAATTGAGGGCAAGGTAGTGTTCTAACTGCTGCATGAATAAGCAGACAGCTTGGAGCATTACCTGAAAAAGATACGTGTTGTTCCACTCAACTTAGTGTTTGTTATTGTTTCTCTTTTTTTTTCTTTTAATTTTATCTATTATTATGAATATTATTGTTATCTTAATGTGTTTTTATTAAAGTTTTACTACAGAAACTCTTCTGCTGCTGAATTTTATTGCTTCACTGTTAAGTGTAGTTTTGCTGTATTCTTTTCATCAAGAAAATTGCAGTCTACTTTGTGTGACCTGAGAAAAGGCTTTTTTTTCTCTCTTGAACTTTTTCTCTTGCTTAGAGGCATTTCTCCCCTAACTAATAAACATTTTATTTTAATACCATACTATCTGTTCTTTGCTTAGCAGTAGCATAGAGCGTTTACCTGGATGGGTAACCAGGGAATCCTTCAGTTTGATTTTTTTTTCTTTTAATCTGAGAAGACTATAGAAGAAATACATATCAATTTAGTGTGATCCACTTCCTCCAAGTAGTTTTACTTTAACCGCTTGCATGAATATGCTTTGATTTCAGCTGTCTTTCATTTTTAAAAACATGAAAATATTTAAGATTCTTTTTTAGTACTGATTTTGTATTTTTATTGGCACTTTGGTTTTATCCTTTTTATTATTACTATTATTATCCTATTTATTATTACTATTATTATCACTTTGTCTGTAAAGAGGAAAAAATAAAGAGCTTTAGCCTCCAGCTTTGTAACTCATAACACATTTATTGGGTTGTAACATTTTTTCTGATACACTTATCATTTATGAGAGATATACACAAGAAAGGGAGTGCCTTTTTGCATTTAGAATGGAAAAGTTTGAGAAAATGTTACTAAGAGAAATTGCTTTCATTAATGAATATTTAATTTCTCTATCTTAGAGCTTTTATATTCAGTAAGAACACAAAGTGGGATATCTACTAGTATCTGAAAGAACAAAACACAGAAGTTACAGGATTTTTTTAGTGTAGCGCTTAAAATGGATTTTATGAGATTGATAGTGGAATAGATCTATTGTTAACATGGCTAACTTTACCACTTGGACACTTAGTCCACTGGAATGTAAGAAAGTACATGAGAAAATACTGATTTGTCCAAATTCCATGCCAGAAGGGACAAAGTTATATTAACAAATGGATCTGAAATAGTTCTTGGTTGTTCTTCATTCCATAAGGCTATAGATCACCATGTAAAAAGTGACCATTTTCTTCTAAAGTTCTTTTATTTAAAAAAAAAAGAAAGAAAAAAAGTTATGTAGTTATATTTAAGGTATTGATGCATCCTTTTCAAACACCACTAAACGCATTTTAAGTAAAAAAGTTCTTCAAAACTAGTATCGATACATAAATTTAAAAAAGCTTCATATGAGTTTTTAGTTAAAATCATACTTATAACAATACCTTGTGGTTTTTTTTTTTTTTTTTTTTAGTTACTGGTACAAATGTGAAGAGTGAAAGCCTTTCCGCTGTGCAGCACCTCGGTGTTGAAATGACAGTCAGGTAAACAGCATTAAAATGCTTCCCTAGAGTGTTTCCGGAATTTGTTTGATTTTCTTGGAATGACTGTAATGGTATTTAATCCATCAACTCAGTGCTTTATACCATTTAAACCTAAAGATCTTCTTTGAGAAAATGAATTCTAAGTCTCAAAATGAAAGAGGTATTGGTACATAATTAAATTATCTTTACAAATTATATGTTTATTATTGTTGTAAGCACTAATTGCATCTTGTTAGTAAGATTTACAGCTAAAATTACATTATCTTGAGTTACCTGTCTTTTTCACCTCACATTAGTTCTCTTAATGGCTGTTTAGCTAAGCTTAGTTATATGCAATTTACACTTATTATCTGGCTGATAATTTGCAGAGTCATGATGAAGGAAAAGTTAATGTGTCTGTAGTCCCACAAATCATTACCTTTAGCATTAATATTTGAATTCTGCTGCTAATAATTGCACTTAAATACCTAAATAATGAATCGTGTGTTATTACACAGAATGAAATGGATCATATATATGGTTGCTTGTTTATTTCTTAAGAACGTTGCTTGACTTACTATTACAAGTCTAACAAATATGACTTTCTGCTTTTTAGGAATTTTGAAAGATATATTTAACCTTTTTGCCACCTTATTATTTTTGTGTTAGATACGGGAAATACTTAAACTTGCTAAAAGAACATGCTGAAAATGAGCTGTCCTTGGTGTTGTTGAATTGTGAAAAATTTCTAAAACAACAGCAAACAACTGTAGCATCCTCACTTTGTATCCTTTCTTGATGATGTGAATTACATTCCCTGAAAAATGCCAATGGAGTTTGAACTCTCACTTTGTGTTTCTGTTGGTGATGTAGATGTGTAGTATATTCTGAAGGGGAAAAAAAGTTCATTTCTCCTGTGAATTCTGGTTGAGCTTGAAGATCTTCCTCCTGGGTTCCTATACTTTTTAAAAATATGTTGCAAGTCTCATTCATTGTTGTTGTAAACTGCTTAGTTTACAACAATGAATCAAATGTTTCTGATAAAGAGTGTAGGATATTGCAATGTATTTGTGTGCAACGACTCTGTTAGTGATCTTTAATGTTATATAATCTGTGATTGTCATTTGATCAGCAAGAGAGTTTTGATTTCTGACTTTTCAGACTTACTACAGATCTTCTTAAAAATAAAATTAGCCCTTTAGAGGGTTTACAACATTTTTTATGCATTAGAATGCTTACATATTACTAATACTTACTACATAAAAACATATTTCAAGTATATTGGATTAAACTTCATCATTGTTTGAAGCTTTTCTTTTACTTTCTTGCTCTCTACTTAACTATCACAACTCATGTTTTCCTCCTTTTCTTTCTATTTTTCTTTCTTTTACTGTAAGGAGACTTACTTTGGTCTGTGTTTTCAGTTTATTTCCATTTTTGCAAATTTTGTGTTTTGTTTTCTTTTGTTGATTTGGCTTGATAATTTAGAGATGATTAGGAAAAAAAAAAGTGAAAAATATGGGGAAAACAGCTTAAATCCCTCTCATAATTCAGGTTTAGAGGCAGGTGTACCTCTAAGATTTTTTTATTCAGAAGTCCATCTTTAGTGCAGCTGTATCCCCAGTGTCCCATCTCTCAATCCTTAGCTCTGTACATTTTGGCATGGGGAGGGAGGAGAGCTACATTTCCTGCATGGTAGTAAAAGGTTCTTTTGCTGGAAGCTCGGTGGTGGCCAGGACGAGGGGTAACGGGTGTAAGTTGAAACACAGAAAGTTCCATCTCCATGTGAGGAAGAGCTTTTTTTCTGTGACGGTGACAGAGCCCTGGAACAGGCTGCCCAGAGAGATTGTGGAGTCTCCTTCTCTGGAGATCTTCCAAACCCACCTGGACACCACCCTGTGCCACGTGCTCTAGGTGACCCTGCTGGAGCAGGGGGGTTGGACTAGGTGATCTCTATGATCTAAGACCCTTACAACCCCCCTTACTTGTTTAGCTCATCCTTTTAGTTCAACAGCTCTTTTATTCCCTCTGACCTTGGTCTACTTCCTTATCTCCTAGTTAGCAGTCCCTTTGTCACTGAAACCTGGAAGCCCGGATTGAGCAGGCCGGCTGGGCAGCCATGTCCATGGCTCTCTAACCATTCCTCTACAACCATTCTGTGATTCTGTGATTTCCTTAACTTTCTCATGCAGGTTGCTTGCAGGGAGCTTATGCTGGCTACGATTGGTTTGCATCTTCTGTGTTTCTGATAATGTCAGGAGACAGGGAGAAGACGTTAACATTTCTTCAGCGATTTTCACGTCTTCTCGTTTCAGCATTTCTGTGGCTACCAAGACTGCATATGTCTGTAAGTATTTAAAAGCTGTTCTCTCTGAAAGACAACTTAGAAAAATTTTAGAGGACATTTTATCAAGGAACACCTCAGGTGTTTTTCTTTTTCTTTTTCTTTTTTTTATATGTTAACTTCCTGTGAAAGCCCTCTAAGTGAATGTATGTCCCTGGAAAAATTCTCAGAAAAACATAGGTTTGAGATTTGCTCAAATAGTTGTTTAAAATAGAACAGGTGGACTGATGGTAATGGCAGTGCTACTGAATTTTAAAGCTGGCAATAAAATAAACTTTGTTAGTAGCATTAAATTTTGTGTGAAGGCTGTGATAGTATTCACTAGCCTTTTTATTCTTGTTGCGGTATGGGAGTTCATCTTTTTAGTAGTAAATCTAGCAGTTTTGTGGAGAAAAATGTTCAACATATTTAACAATTTTGAAAGTTTTGTTTTTGCCTAAGTACTTGAGCTCTTTGTAATTTTAAGTGATTGGTGTTTTCAGTCAAGTTTGTAGTGTAAACAACGTAATTCCATCTGTTGTTAGACCTGATACTATCTATTTAAAATAGTAACCCTTCAATTTAACTTTGTCATAATGTCTAATTGTTTTGGATTTAGACTATCAACTGTAGTCTCTACTGGAGAATTCTGGGATTAATTAAAAAAAAAGATTTGATTCTGTATCCGTTCTTCATGAAAGCCTCTGTATTAATTTCAGCTGGCTTTTCACCAGAAATGCCTGTATTGGATCCACTTAGATAATGGAGCCCAGCCCTGAGACTGCTCCAGCACAAAGAATTTTTGCTCCTTCGTGTGAATACGGTTGTGCCGAACGTCATCGGTGCCGAGACCTCCCGTGCTGGCGCCCTCACTAAACCCCCTCAGCGTGGCAGGCGGGTTACTGCCCTTCTCTGCACACCTACAACCTCGCTCCCTTGTGCTGCACAAAGTAGAATTTCCCTCACTCCAGCCATGCGTACCACTGGGAAATCTTCACACAGAATACAGTTTTAGATAATACAGAAGTTCTACTCACCCACCAGCGAAGGGGGAAAAAAATCTTTTTTTTCTTTTTGTTTAAAATATAACAACAGATTCTCCACCCCTGCTTTGACAACTAAAGCATACATGTAATAAACGATAAGGAACAGCTCACATTATTTTCTAACAGTTTAACTTAATTTAACTATGTGTTTTTCCTGATGTTAGCACCAGCTTTTTATGTATTTGCTTATATATTCAGCTATCAATAATAACTACATGGGATGTCTTACCTTGTCACTGGTTGTACTTTTGTTAATCATCAGATGCACCTGCCTATTACCACAGTGGAGTCTGGCATCCATCCAGTGTATTTTTGCAGTGCTCACTACATTGAGATGTTGCTGAAAGCTGAGGTGCCACTTGTCTTTTCAGCCTTCCATATCTCTGGTTTCGCTCCATCACAGGTAACGGATGAGGGCATGTCAAAGTAACCTTAACTGTTAGACTTAAATCCGCAAAATCAAGGACATTCAGAGTTAAAACTGAAAGCAATAAAAGCAATAAAATTCAGTCATAGTTTTATTGCTTACATCATAGTGAAATGATTTAAGAATAATGTTCCAACCTTCCTCCACACCAAACAAATTACTGCTTGTTCTCAGTAGTGGCGGATGGTGGGTATGAAAGTGGGAGTAAGAGATAGTACTGCATGCAGAGCGACTTAGAGCATTTGAAAAGAGAACTTGATTAACTTTGTTAGAGTAGTGGCAGTATACTGCAGCTGATGATCTTCCAGTACATGTTCATTCAAAAAACTTGATAAAAAAATGCTATATACTAAAAACTCAGATTTATAGATAAAAGTGACTAAAATCTATTCTTTTGAATCATTTTCTTTTTTTTTTTATGGAATGGAAATGAGTAATTAGAATTGGTATATAATAGGAAGCAGTTTAGGCAATATTGGAGCTTTTTTTATATTGGCTACCACAGCCATTCCAATCAAGGTTCAAAAAAATAAATGATCCTGTTGCTGTGTATTAAGGAGATTTTGCTAGAGAAGAGTATTTCACCATGATGTTAGCTTTCATTTTCCTTTTCATTACAGTGTTTTGGAAATAACTGAATCCTATATATGGAACATTGCTTGTAAAGACTAGTCATGATGAAGCATAAACAGCTTCATCACCACGGAAAGAGAGCTTATGGCTCTATTAAATTACTGTTCCGAGGCAAGAAAAATACTCTTCATCTTACACATTCAAAGTAACATTTTGTCCCAAGGTTTGCAATTTAAAAGTGTTCCTACTGAGGATGGATTCCAGCACTTTCCACATATTGGTTAAAAAGTCAGTCTGAGATTTATGTTTTCAGGAGAGAAAAGTGATAAATGAGGGTTTTTTTCTCATGATAGGAATAATGAGGTATTTATAAGGCTCCTGGTTCAGGGTGGGAAAACACAAGGGGACAATGATTTCCTTCCTTGATTATTCTTGTGTAAGTTGTCCTTTGTGCTCCTCAGTTTGCACTCCCCTCATGGTAAACGATTTAGCATTTTAAGCTGCTAACAAGATCTGATTAATTGTACTACTGAAAGATCATTAATGGGAGCCACTGTGATAAGAACTTACCTATGTGATTTTCCAGTTTTATTGGGAGGGGAACAACCAAGTCCTGAACTGTGAAAACAGCTCTAGGGTGATGAAGTGCCTGTGTACACAAATAAATAACTGAATGCAGATTTCATTGCAGAATATGGCTGCTTTCATCTAATTAGAGTCTTGGTACTTTCTGTACTGCGTATTCTTAAACACTTAAAGGACTGATTAGCAGAAGATTTGTGGTCTACAACTAAATGAAATGCTCTGTGCACTTCTTTGTACATTGTGAGGTACAACTGGAGAAAGGAGTTGCTAAATGTTTTCCATCCTCATTTCATTAAATGCAAAAGTGCCTTAGGGAAGGGCCTAGTGTTCATTTATAAGGCAAGTAACTGTTTTAATTTAAAGGAAAGTCTACATTAAAGACACCTTCATCACCCTCATTACTCTCTAGGCCACGCAAAAATCCTGAGAAAACTCATCATATAAAGACTGATGGCTTTCATTGTTATAACTAGTGACTTTGTTATAGGAAAAGGTGCTATAGAATAAAAAGTTAAGAGATAACGTTAAAGTATAAGATTATTGTTGTAGCTCTTCACTAAATAATGTGTATAATTTCATCTTCATCTAGATCTGTTTACAGTGGATAACTCAGTGTTTCTGGAACTACATGGACTGGATTGAGATCTGTCACTATATTGCTACATGTATTTTCCTTGGTCCTGATTATCAAATATATATGTGTATAGCTGTGTTCAGACACCTACAGCAAGACATTCTGAAACACACTGAAGCTCAAGATCTTCAGGTTTTTCTTAAAGTAAGGGTTTCTTTTTTAGTCTTTCAATTGCTGGAAGGGAAGCAAAACTTTGTGAACTGGAAATAAACATATTGTTTAATCTGAAAAACACATATTGACTTTACATATTGATTTTGAGTGAGACAATACTTTGATTTTGATAACTTACCTGGCAGGAAAATGTAATCTAGGATTTTGCAAAGAATAGTATTCTTGCATATTGTCCTGATCAGCACCCTTTGTAATCAATGTAAATAGTAACATTAAGCCCCTGGGGAGATTAATTCAGGTCTGTTGGTGTGGTCCACATCGTATTAAACTAGGTACTCTCCAGGGAGTTGGGTTTACACAAAGAAGTTTGAAAAGATGAGGCACAAAAATCAGTGGGCTATGTTATTTTCACTAGGTGCCATATAATATATACATAACCTAATACTCAACTGATTGGGAGTTCATTAAAACCATGACACGCCATTTGAGGGAAAAAAAAAAAAGAAAAAAAGGTAAACTCTCAACTTGGAATTTAGTTCAGATTGATGTAATGCAGATTTTTTTGTATGTTGTTTTTCTACCTATTCTGCTGAATAGATAAAAGCAAGTTGGGATGACACTGATGCAAAATTCTTTGACATTTAGGTTTTCGACATAATGTATTTGATCTCTTTATATCAAGATTAAGCCAAACATTTCAGCGATTCATAGGAAAATTGGTGATTTTGATTTCTAATTTAATGATGAGGCATTAAGGGATTGATTATTTTAAATATCACTGCATCCACTTTGGATCCACGGCATCACAGTAGACTTGAGAGTGAAAAAAAATGTGCAATTTGTGGCAGCCCTGCATTTGAAAGATGTTGGTACAATTCTGACTTGGTGATACTCAACCTCCACATTATTTCACCCTGCAGCTTGTGTGTGTGTGTGTCTGGTTTGGCTTATTTTATTTTTGTGATACTTTATGAGATCAGTAGGGGTAGGTATGTTTGCATAACAGATGGATTGTGTGTAGAGGATGTGGTCAGTACATCTCAATACTGACTTTTTAATTTTCCTGCCACTCAGCTGTGGACAGCATAAAAACATGGTTGTTTTGGCTTGTTTGATTTTTTTCCTCTTTCTTTGTCATTGCATTTGCCATGCCCAAATAGGCAGAACTGTTCAATGTTGTGAGTAAACATGGCTTAATAACAGTATTACACCAGCATAAATATTACAGCAGCATAATAACAGTGTAACACCAGCTATAGACTTACTAAAGGAATTGTGGAATATAGTGTATGAAATTGCTTATCTCCTGGCTGGTGCAAACCCATAGATCAGCCACAAACAAAGAAAGCATCCTACCCTTTTTGCCTCCTGGGCCACCTTCTTTTGCTCAAGTTTTTGGGCTTAGTAGGAGTTACCTCTTTTGTGCTAATGCAGAAATGTTTATTCTGTTTATCTTTAAGCATGTTGTAATGATATTTGAAAATAAATATCTACTGTTGCTGTTATGTTTATTGAGAATCTAATTGGTTATAAAAGGCACATTAACAAACTTTAACATCCTGTGTGCCAGTATAAAAAGCTTTTAAAATAATATTTTGGTATCTGACTGTTTTAAACCCGTTTTCCTTTAAAGTTTTACAGTTGTTTTTAAAAACTTGTTTTCCTTAAATATTTTAAAACTTGTTTTCCTTAAAATTTCCAGATGGTGTGTTCTCCAAAAGGAGATGAAGAAGTTCCATCTGAAAAATCTGTTTGTTACCAATCTTGAAATTAGGAAGAACTGTCTAGAAGTAGATATACTAATTCTTTTTTTCCAATTAGATGTAATAAAATGCATTTCAAACACTCAGGAAGTGACAAGCAGAACAAAATGAACTATCTTCAACAGCCTGGAATTCATTAAATTTGAGTCATGCAGTTTTTTTTTCCAAGCTAATAAATGTTTTCTGTGTACTATTGTGCAGGAAGAAGCCCTCCATGGATTTCGAGTGAGTGATTATTTAGAATATATGGAAAGCTTGGAGTCAATCTACAGGCCAGTGTTGCTGAAAGACATGAGGAATATCAGAGAGCAGACGGCATAGATAAAGCAAAGCAGCATGTTATTTTCCAATTTTCATTACATTCTTGCAAAGGATGCTGATTGACATATCAATCTCCATAAAAATAAGTCAGGCTGTGTACATGTAGGTATTGTAAAATAAATAAGTTTTCAGAATATAGTTTCTACAAGAGGTCTTCATCTAAATTGGATGACCTGCAGCAGTGTATTATCGCAGCCTTATTTTTGTTTGGCCTCAGAACCTGCCTGGAGATTGCTTAAGTGTGTTGTTTATAATGCCTGGGATCTGTTTCCAAAGCACTCCATTATTTTCATCAGTTTGGATCACAGTCTTCCTTCATATTTTGCAAGGACCTGACAGAGTGATTTTTCTTTAAAGCAACTGTAAATTTGTGCATGAGAAGTGAACAAATGCAAAACAAATATTCTGTATGCAGCTGTTCTGACTTCGTGGATAAAGTTGAGAAAATGAGGTGACCAGATACATGCAAAGAAAATGCCCCTTTTTTTCCTCATAAATCATTTTGCCATAAACAGCTATTTGTAGCATACGCTCTCAATATGTGGAAGTGAAAGATGGCCCTCAGCAGCCTGGTCTAACTGCACCTGCTTTGAATAGGAGATTATGCTAAAAAAAACCTCTGGGCCTTCCTTCCCTCCTACATGGTTCTGTGATTGTAAAATAACAGAGGCTGTTACTGCTCATGCTGTTTACTTATCTGTGCTTGATTAAAGTTAGGATGGTTATCACCACCTTTGGTTTGCCATGCAAACATACTCCAAGAAGGTTGTAGTCATAGTTTGCCTGAGCTTCATCTCCCTGTTCTTCTGTGTTCTGAGCCAGTACATATGAAGGTTTGCCTGAGCTTCATCTCCCTGTTCTTTTCTTCTTCTGTGTTCTGAGCCAGTACATACAAAGAACTAAGGGAGTTTTGTTTGTTTGTTTTTGTCCTAACATTCTGAGACAGGACTGCCCTCTAAACAGAATCTTACTTTCACTAGATGTGTTTATATGGGATGCATCCTGGGTAGCAGATTTTGAGGTTCCGTTTTTCTCTCATTAAGGTGTCTCAAAAAAAAAAAAAATCCATACTTTCAAACTAGTCTAGCAGCATTCCTGTTGCCTGGTCACAGGCTATGTGGGTATGTGCATTTTCATTAACATATAGAGAAGATAAGTTAGAAAGTGATTTTTAAGCTACATGAACAAATGAAGAAAAATTTTACTTCCAGATATTAGTACAATTTTTATATCATTTAAATTCAGAAAGGAATTTGAATTTACTTCTCACTTTCATTTATTTTTGTCTTGTTTGTGTTTTCTGATTTGAGATCATGATATTTTTTTCCTCTTTAAACTTACTGCTAACACTGAAAATTGCTTCCTTTCTTGTCGAGGAGACTAAAGACATTTGGAATTTCAGCCTTAATTATTTCTTTGTACACTGTAATTTTTAATATTTGCAGTTTGGGATTTTCTTTCATTAAAAGGTATTTCTCAAATAACCAGAAACCAGTAGTTATTTTTCACTCGAGTCATTTTTTTTCCTAAGCTAAAGAATTATGAATGAGAAAATGTTTTCTGCAACTTTTTAAAGAATATCTTCCTGGCCTCAAAATCTTAGATCATAAAATTCATAAAATACAACTTTCTTGTTCTTGACAGCATTTGGGAAGTGGAGAAAAAAAAATGTTTGACTTCCATCTCCAGCTCTCATGTTCACCTTTGTTCTTACTGTTTTGTATCTCAGTAAAAATCCTTTTAAAAAAATGTTTTCATTCATAGCAGACAGGGAAACAGATAAGAAGCTTTTATGTGCTTGCCTTTCATCTTCAGGGAAATGCAAGAATTATGACCGATAGATGTATTCTGACATCTTCAGGTAAGATTTCTACCCCAAAATTTCACTACAATAATAACAATAAGCTTCACTAAAATAAATATATAAAAAGTTCACCAATCTATAGTTATTTTTCTGAATTCAGTTTCAAAGCACCAGACAAGATTTGAAGTCAGTAAGTAATACTTAATTTGTTGACAGTGTGTTCCTAAAATAAATACTACAGTTGCTCTGATAGGAATTAATACGATTTTATTTGATTGAAATTATGGCCTATAAAATGATAGCTATTACCAAGCAGGAGGGCTTCCTTCAGCATTTGTAAGTAATCAAAGGATGTACGTGGACAACAAGATACCATACTGTGACCTTTCAGTATGAAAAATGTTACACAGCTGCATCACAATTTCAAATAGAAAATACCAAGTAGAAATCTAACCTTTACTGGATGAGTTTTGATGAAAGGTAGACATTTAACATACTAGTTTACTAACTGCAGAACTTAATAATCACATTTAAAATAGTCCAGAAGTAGAACAGTAATTTAAATTTATTCTCTAAACTTGTTATAAAAGTGTCTCGAAAGGCATTAGGGCAGGTGAGATGGGCGACAGTGTGGTCTATTCGGAATAGCTCAGATGATGGATTTGTTCTCCCGTAAACTTCCTCTTTTGGAAATTTTCTCTTTTCTTTGCAAGTACTTAAGCCCAGAGCTCTTTTGTCCTAGCATTCCCTGTGGCCACTCTTTCATGCTCCCCTTCTCTTCATACCACCTCCACCAGAGCAAAAGCGAGTGAAGCACTTCCTGCCCATTACATGCCAAACTGAAGCTTCCTTTCTCTGTCTCCTCCACTTAATCTTTTTGGTGACAAGTTCTTCATTTGCCTTTGCCATTTTTTATCTGCTCATTTCTGTAGTATTTTCTTGACTTCTATTCAGAGTTTTTCATCTGTTCTTTTACGTGTTTTCTCAACAGACAAGATCTATTCTCTGTCTCACAATCTCTATTCCACAATACTTTTTTATTCTGTATAAAAAGCAACATTACAGTGAATAGGACTTGCATCTCTTTTTGCACACTAGCTTACCAGTAGAATTTTCTGGTTTTAAACTCTGCCTTAAAAGTTAACCAAATTCACTGGCTGAGCTTGGTCCTACACATGGTTCAGGCTGCAGGGGGGAAAAAAAGAAAAAATATCGAGTCTCTTCCTGTCCATGTTAGAGGGATTAGCTCAGTCTCCAGAGCAAGGACATTGTCTTAGGAACTTTTAGGAGCATTGCAAAGCAGGATTGCCTGTCTGTGGTTAGACACACTCATCTATCCTGCCTCCAGGTTCCAATTTGCAGCATCCAGGAACAGCAAGGGGCAGCTGGCTGACTTTCTGGAGTGTTCAAATCTCACATCTGAAATACCAAGAGAGATGAAGCAAGAAAGAGGTGAAACTTGAAAGTAAGCTAGCTGAAGCTGTCAGCAAACTGAGTGTTCAAGAGCTCAAGAGTTGCAATAGATGTAGAATTGGTTTTAGATATTCACTTTGTCACACTTAAAAATTATTTTGCAGAGAATTGCTTTGTCTGAAACCCTTTACAACAGATTTAGCCTGTAAAACCAGTGGAAAGCATAGTTAGGTGTCTTAGACTAAAACTGGAAAACATTTTCCAGATTATCTGTAAACAAGTTTGCTTCCAGAACCACCACAACAAGCAGCAATTCCTTAGCTGAATTAATGAGTTAATGGAAAAAAGCTAGAACTGGCTTTTGTGGAGATTTTGCATAGAGATTTCTCACTTGCCCCCACACACATATTTTAATTGATTTCTGCAATACTTCTTTGAAACAGTCATGCAGAAATTCTAACATAACAGAACAAGCCTCTCATTGAGCCCTTCTTAGATCAAGGCTAATCCAGGATGTGCAATTACAAGGTCTTTTCAAAAAAATGCCTTAAGTTTTATTTAAGAGTTTAATTTTCTACATTGCAGCCTATGGTCGTGCTGTCTAGGGGCCTGTTCAGTGGTTGGCATCTAAAAAGAAATCACAATTTCATGAGGTAATAGTTATTCCATAAGCAACAGAATATAACTTAGTGGTTATTACTACCTATGAATGTATAAAAAATTCTTTAGTGTCATCAGTATCAGATGTTTTAGTGTCACTGGAGTGATTTTGATTTAATCTTTGGCAATATCTTGTTCTTACTCTGAGATACTCATCCTTCTTGAGTACATTTTCATCAACTCTTCAAAAGTTTCTTGGAATTCTTGCCTTTGCTTCCTAACAACCACAGAGTAAGGCAAATACTGAATACATTCATTCATTCAGAGATTTTTACAGACTTCAGTAAAATTTCACCCAAAGTAATAGTTACACTATTTCAATTTAAAATCAAATGCCCTGTTCCATTACCGTTTGAAGACTTTTTTTCTTGGTAATTGCTTCACGCAGAAAGTTGTAAAAATCAGACATTCACTCCCTGTAGCTAGCGGGGTCCCCCAGGGGTCAGTCCTTGGTCCAGTCCCGTTCAATTTATTCATCAATGACCTGGATGAAGGCACAGAGTGCTCCCTCAGCACATTTGCTGATGACACGAAACTGGGAGGAGTAGCCGATACCCCAGAGGGCTGCGCTGCCATCCAGAGGGACCTGGACAGACT